CTTAAAATTAATTTGTTGACTGTGATATGGTGAAATCTGATCCTAAAATCTCAAAAGACTATCACATCTCGGTCATTGTGTTAACTTCCAGCTTACACAACTGACAGATTTTTAACTGAAAAATGATGAGTTTAAAACATAATGAATAGTCAAGTGACATTTTCTGTAACTTTCAATAGTTGAGGGACTCAATAAAGCGACACTCTATATTTTAAAGATCATTTTATAACTTTTAATAACTAAATGACTTAATAAAATAGTATCCTCTAGTGGACCATTTACTACACATTTTGCTCATTATATTAATTTTATAATAATTCGTGGAATCTATCAAACAATTTTAATTATAAAAATGTATTATTATACATAAAATGTGTGCGTTGTCATTATATTTTATGTAGTAAGTACCACTACTCTTTTTATCTATATTTAAATAAATATTATGCTGAATTATTTAATAGTATATAATTTTAAGATAAAGTAAACAAATGGTTCCTCGATTGAATGATACTATTTTATTAAGTATTTCGACTATTAAAAGTTATAAAAATGATTCTCTGACTATAGAGTATAACTTTGTTGAGTCAATTGACTATTAAAAGTTATAAAATTGTCACCTGACTTTTCATTATATTCTAAACTCGTCATTTTTTGTTAAAAAATAGACGGTATTCTGAGCTAAACATTAACCTGTTGACTGTGATATAATAAAATTTGATCACATAATCTCAAACGACTATCATATCTCAGTCATCATACTAACGTCCATCGATTTTTGAACAAAAAATAATGACTTTAGAACATAATGAATAGTGAGTGATCATTTTATAACTTTTAATAGTCTGGAGACCTAATAAAGTAATATTCTATAATTCAGAGACCATTTATGTACATTACCCATATTTTTATACATAGTGATTTAATAGCAGTATACTATGACACAATCCCCACCAAACTTACCTAATCCATGTATAACTTTGATGTGACTAATCTTCTGGTCTGCTCACCCGTTTTCATGTGAAACCATTCGTCCATCTATCATCACGAGCCGTTAGATCATCATCAAGCTGTTCAAACCGGAAATCATCAGTAGCTGTGCGTGTCCCACGTGTATAATCTTCGCTAGTTTTGGATTTGATCATGTTTACTCACGATATCTGCAGTCCTGGTTATCGTGATTAGTCAGGTAGAAGATATTTCCCCCCCACTTTTGGCAGGTTCGAGAACGCACGGGCTGCGCTATCGGTCAACATCGGGTGGCCTTAGCATGATCCCCGTGGCCGAGCCATATTCATTGGCAACCTTTTGAAAGCGAGTATATAAAGAGTATCAAAAAAATAGGGTAAACTACTAAACTATAAGGGTGTATTCGGTTCGGTTCGGTTTTTTTATAAAAAATTGAACCGAATCGAAATAAACTGTTTTTAAAAATTTAAACTGAAATCGAATGGTTAAAAAATTGAAAAAACCGAAATCGATTTTTTCGGTTCAGTTCGGTTTATCGGTTTTTCAATGAAAAAATCACTTGAAACTATAATTTTTTTTAAAAAAATTGCATATTCGGTTCAATATGGAACAAATGGATTCCATATGAAAAACCCGAACCGAACCGAATCAAAAGAATTGAGACTTTAAACCGAACCGAAAACCGAACCGAATAATGTCAAACCGAACTGAATAATGTCAAACCGAACCGAACCGTTTTACTCGGTTCATGTCGATTTTTCAATTTTCTCGGTTTCGTTGCTCAACCCTAGTAAACTATGCATTTACTAATTAAATTATTAATTTAGATTAATTTTGGTATTTAAACTTTTATTTTTTAAAATCAACGTATAATTTTTATTTTATTTTAGTATTTCACCATTAAAAACTTAACGCGTTTAGTATCTAAATTTTCATTTTTTTGAAAACTTAACTTTAAATTTGAACTGGGTACTAAAATTAGGGGTGTTCAAATTTCGGCTAAAACCGATTTAATCAGCCTAACAAAAGTTTTTCGGATAACCGATCGGTTAATTTTAAGTTCAGTTATTAAAAAAATTAATACATTATATATATTATTTATAATTAGAGTTTTTTTTTTGAAACGGGAAGTCTTGTATGTTATTCAAACCGATCTAACCATACAAATCTATACAAACCAAATGTGAAACTTCGATTTCAACTGAATAAACCAATCAAATTAATTGAATTAACCAAAAATATAAATTATTTAATATAAATTATTTATAAATTTTAGTTAATTCGGTTAACCGTCCGATTAACCAAGCTTTGTTCGGTTTGATTAACGGTTAAAGGGAAAATTAGTTAATGAAATTTTGGAAGTTTGATTCGGTTCGGTTGGTTAACCGAACCGACTAATTGACCACCCATAACTAAAATGAAACAAAAACTAAAAGTTTTTAGCGACATGCACTAAAATGAAACAATGCTAAATTTTAGATATGCTTTTAAAAGTTTATATTATAAAACTGATAATTTAGATATTAAATACATAATTTACTCCAATAATAATTCAATCTAGTTTGTGCATTAATCAAAGTACCTATAGAGTCGTTTTTTTTATAAAAAATCGAATTTATGTTGGATTCAGTATTTTAGAAAATAATATCATATTAAATGAAATTTAATTTTAAAATAAAATTTATCAATCAAAAATAAAATAATAGGGTAAATTATAAATTTCATCACCAAACTTTGTTCTCTCCTATTTTGGTCACTCCACCGTTAAATAATTAATTACGTTAAAAACGACGCCGTTTTGAGAAAACAAAATTTCCATCAAAACGACGTCGTTTTTCATCTATATAACTATTCATTTTAATGTCATTAACTATTTAACGACCAAGTGGCAAAAAAAAAACAAATGTATTAAGTTAAGTGAATAAATTAAAAAGATTTAAAGTACAATGAGTAATATAGGAGAGAAAGTAAAGTTTGGTTACCAAATTTGTAATTAACCCAAAATAATAATATAATTATCTAAAATAATAATTTAGTTAGATCTTCTTAGAAAATCCAATCTACACTCACATTTAATACCAACAATAATTCAATTTAGTTTGTGCATTAGTCAAAGTAGTTGGTCTTCATTGACGTGAAAGTAATTGGTGTTAAATATGTAATATAAATCTAATATTAAAACTTAAAATAAGATTTAAAAAATTATTGTTGTATAATTTTGGGTAAAGAACACAAATAGTCCCCAACTACTAGGTACTACTTTATTAAGTCCTTCTACTATTAAAAATTATAAAATAATCACCCGACTATTCATTATGCTTTAAATTATTCTTTTTTCATAAAAAATATATGATATTGTGAGCTGAACATTAACTTGCTGACGATGATATGATAAAAATATGATCCCAAAATCTTTAAAGACTATCATATCCTATTCATTGTGTTAACGCCCAACTTAAATAATCGTTGTTTTTTTTAACTAAAAATGATGAGTTTGAAATAAAATGGATAGTCAATAGACTAAACAAAGCAACACTCTATAGTTGGATAACTATTTTATAATTTTTAATAGTCAAGAGACTTAATAGATTAATACCCTATATCGGGGGACCATTTGTGTATTTTTCCCCTATAATTCTATGGTATCCGTCAGACTTGCGATATCGCTTCAATGATTCTGTTGAAGTCAACAAATTGTTTCATGTCGGAAAATTAAAAAAAAAATTAATAAAACTAAGAGTTAGTTTAATATTTTTTTAAAAAAGTATGATAAAAATATATTTTATAATTATATAATAAAGGGTAAAGAATACAAATGGTCCCCGATTATAGGGTACTATTTTATTAAGTTCATTGACTATTAAAAGTTATAGAATTATCTTTCGACTATATATTTGTTGTTTTGTTAAGTATCCGACTATTAAAAGTTACAAAATGGTCATCTGACTATTCATTATGTTCGAAACTCGTCCTTTTTTGTTAAAAGATGGACAATATTTTGAGTTGAACTTTAACTTGTTGATTATGATATGAAAAATTTTGATTTCAAATCTTAAACGACTATCATATACTGGTCACCATGATAACATATAGCTTAAACACCAGTCATTTTTAACAAAAAAAAAGACTAGTTACAACATAATAAATAATTGGGTGATAATTTTTGTAACTTTTAATAGTCGACGACTCAACAAATCAACACTCTATAATTGAAGGATCATTTTGTAACTTTTAATAATTGATGAACTTAATAAAACAATACCCTATAGTCGGAATATCATTTGCGATCTTTACCCTATAATAAAAAAGTTATAAGTTAATATAATTGGGAGTTGAAACTAGAGTGTAGCTATATTAAGTGTAGTGATCAAATAAAAAAAATGAAACTAAAAATGAAAATTTAGTATTATAGTTGAAGTATTTAAATATTTAGTACTATGAATGACATAATACCTAAAGATGAGGGGTATATTATAAAATTTACCTTTATATCAAGTGTAATGATAAAATAGAAATATAAGGGTAAGGTACACAAATGATCCTCTGACTACAGGACACTATTTTGTTGGGTCTCTCAACTATTAAAAATTATAAAATGGTCTAGAATATAAAAAGTTGTTTTTATTGAGTCCCTTGACTGTTAAAAGTTGTAAAATGATCAATCAACTATCCTTTATGTTTTAAAGTAGTCATTTTCTATTAAAAATTAATAATAGATTAAGTTCGACGTTAATTTACTAACTGAGATATAATAAAATCCGATCTCATAATCTTAAACGATTATCATATCTTAGTTAACATAATGAGAAAGGATGAGTTTGTAACATATTGAATAGTCAGGTGACCATTTTATAACTTTTAATAGTCGAGGGACTCAATAAAGTGACTCCTTATAATTAAGGGACTATTTCATAAATTTTAATAGTCAAAGGACTAAACAATATAATATCTTATAGTTAGGGACTATTTGTGTACTTTAGAAACAATAACCTTAAAGCTGATGATATTACTGGAAGGGAGAGGGATGAAAGGAAGAAAAGCCAAAAGGAAAAGGAGAGGACTAAAGAAAATCCTCTCTGCAACCATTTTATTATTTCATTTCTAATTTTTATTTTAATTTCTGTTCCACGACAGTTGACCTAATTTCAATTCTCATACAGAAGAGGGGAGTTCTACAGTGCGGCACCTAATATAAGGCTAAAATAAGGCATCGAGGAGAAATCAGGGGAGATAATCAAAATGGGAAATTCATTTGGGTGCTCGGCTTCAGGTGAGAGATTAGTGTCGGCGGCGAGAGATGGGGATTTGGAGGAAGCTAAGATGCTTTTGAGTTGCAATCCATGTCTTGCTAAATATTCCACTTTCGGTGGCCTTAATTCTCCTCTCCATTTCGCTGCTGCCAAAGGCCACAATGAGGTCTCTTTCTTTCTATCTTCCTTCGTCATCTTCTTCTTTCTTTCCTTAAAATTTTCACCTTGGCTGTTACCCTTTGGCTTGTAAAATGTTTAGTGTTTGCCTGTTTAATTTACTTGCTGGGCTTTCATTAGATTGTTGCTTTATTGCTTGAGAATGGAGCTGATGTGAATTCCAGGAATTACTGTGGCCAGGTAACTGATGATTCATCTTCTTATCTGGGGTCCTTTTCTTTTCGTTTTAAATAAAAGTATATTGCTGATTGTTTTTATTTTTGAAGTTTCCCAATGTTTATGGTCGTGCTGTATTTTTTGGTGGGATTACTTCTGTTTATAGAGCTCCCTTGAAGATTCTAAATTTTGGAAACTTTTTGAATTTGATTATATCAATTTGGGATTTGGAGTTATTGAACATATTTTGAAAGAATTCTCCTGGTCGGCTGCCTTCCTAAAGAATAGAGTATATTGTTTTTGAGAATTTACTGAACATGAGTTTAGATTCCAAATCAGCAATCTGATTCTGTGGAAACCCAAAGCCAGGCTTCAAGATGTACCACTTGAAATTCTGCTCTCTTCAAGCAACAAACAGACCCTATTTGCATTATAGCTGACTTTTATGTCTTTCTGTGTGTTTTGAAATGAAAGACTGCATTGATGCAAGCGTGTCGATATGGGCGCTGGGAAGTTGTACAGAACCTTCTGCTTTTCAGATGCAATGTAAGTTCCATTTTTCGGTTAAACGATTACTCACAAAATACGACTATGAAATAAGTTCTTAGTTGTAATGGGGTTGGATGCTATGTTCTCTTGAGATCATTGTTTTGCTTTTAATGAATTTTCCTAATTTTGTTATGAACTTTATAAACTATCAAATGTATGTCGATTAATTGATGTCTAATGTTGTTTTATTTCCTTTTTAGGTCACGAGAGCAGATTATCTAAGTGGGAGAACAGCTCTACATTTTGCTGCCGTAAATGGACATGTGAGATGCATAAGACTGGTTGTTGCCGATTTTGTTCCTAGTGCTCCTTTTGAAGCTATAAACAACCAAATAGAAGGTGAAAGAGGGGATGGTTCTGGTGTGAGGAGCAAAAACGATCAAAGGTGTGTATTCCGTTACTTGACTCAATCAGCATGTTTCCCTACTGGCTTTGAATTCAATTTAAATGAGAATTAGGTCTGGATCTTTTACAGCAGAAATTTAGTTTTGGCATGTACAACTTTTTGATGCTCATCGCAGACATTTTCCCCTGCGATCTCAATTGCTGTGGAATTACTCAGCCTCACATGCGAAAAGTGATAGTTGTTGCTTTTGTGTTAATTATGTAACTTTTTTACTATGCAGTGCACTGTCGAAGTTTGTAGATAAGGCAGCTGATGGTGGGATTACCGCTCTTCATATGGCTGCATTAAATGGGTATTTTGATTGCGTACAACTATTATTAGACCTTCAAGCCAATGTCTCTGCCGTCACATTTCACTTTGGAACATCAGTGGATTTGATAGGTATGTTTTTCTTTTTATCATTCCATGGATGGTTGCCTTCTGATTTAAACTTCTGGGTGATGTGGTTATTGTTTTTATGGGCAGGAGCTGGAAGCACTCCTTTGCATTATGCTGCTTGTGGGGGAAACTTGAAGTGTTGCCAGGCAAGACTTACAAACTATGGTTTTGGATCCAATTTTTGTATGTATCGAATACAACATAATGCTATTCTTTTTGTCTGTAGATCCTTCTAGCAAGAGGAGCCAGTAGAATGACTTTGAATTGCAACGGGTAAACTTCCTTTTTGATATTGTTTTGCTCGTCAGTTCAATCTTTTAGCATGGTTGTTGTTTATGTTCTGAATTTATCATGACTAAAAGACAGCGTTATATGTATTTTCTCAGGTGGCTGCCACTTGATGTTGCCAGGATGTGGGGTCGTCATTGGCTTGAGCCCTTGTTGGCTCCTAATTCGGACGCAACCATACCTAGATTTCCTTCTTCCAACTACTTGTCCTTGCCCCTTTTGAGTGCACTTAACATAGCAAGGTAATCAGATAATTCCATGGTCATAATTGAGAAAGGCTCAGATTGCTAGTTTCCGTCACTTCAGAACTGTTGTTAGTTCATAATGTTGCTTTGAAAAAGGAAAACAAAAAACTTCTTTGATAATTTTAAGTTGGTCAAACTTGAATGGAGAGCTACATCGGTGGTTGATATAACAGCGATTCGATATACTTTAATCTTTTGGTTTTTAACATTCTTATAAATTATTCAAATATTTCAGTTGGCTTTCAGCTCAGTACATAGAATAGTTGGATGATTTATGTTTATCGATTCGGTGCATAGCCTTCATTTTGACTATTGTTTGCAGAGAATGCGGGTTGCAGTCCTCAACAACCTCTTCAGATGATTCCGACACTTGTGCCGTCTGCCTTGAGAGAGCGTGTAATGTTGCTGCTGAAGGTATGCCATCAACCAGCCGTTTTTGTAATTTGGGTTATGTTTTCCAATTTGCAGATGTAAGGTTGCCCTATGTGACCAGAAGGTCACATGTTTGAGTCATACGAATAAACTGTTGTATTTATCTGTTTTTTAAACATCAGGATGTGGGCACGAGCTATGCGTAACGTGTGCACTTTATCTATGCTCAACAAGCCAAATTCCTTCCAATATGGTTGCTCCAACTGGGTCTATTCCATGCCCTCTCTGTAGACATGCCGTTCTCTCCTTTGTGAAATTGCCGAGTTCACCAGTGAAAGAAATTAAGCTACAGCTCTCTTTTGGTCTCTGTACGCCATGCATGCTTCATCCCCGTGATGCTGATTTCCCGTCACCGACTTCAGAGATCAGAAAGGCTCGTGTTTCATCAGTTTCTTCTGATATTTTCTGCCCGGTTACCTGTAGTCCATTTCCTTCCGTCGCCATCTCTTTATGTACCTGCAATGACAGTCCTTGCCCCTCTTTCGAACATCGAGACACAACGGAAGCACAAGAAGAATCTCCGAGACGTTCACAAGCTATGTCAATGGAGCAGGAGAAAATCGAAGGACCGAGACTGGAGAGAACAACATGTTCAAGCATGTTTTGGGGCAGAAGGAGCTGCAGTAGAGAGCATCAATGTAATTCAGAAATAAATGCTTGATTGTGGTTTGATCTTGTATTCTAGGACAAGAGTTTCAGTGTTAGATTCCATTTTGTGTCCTCAATCGGAGATGGATTTACAATGGGGGTTTTGCATTGTATTATGTAATTATTGCAAGTCTGAATTCGAAATACGAACGAGTGCATTTTGTAAAACGGTGTCCGATTGATCCAGAGATCGAAGCACAAGTACATGTCGACCAATAAGTGAACTAAACTGAAACAAAACATCTGAGTTTTCTTGCTGCATGTATGTTCCATTACAACATCTCGGCAAACATATGTAATCATCTGTTACAGGCAAAACAATCTGTATCCAAAATTAGGCAAAAATTCAAAGCCAAAAAACCGAGTTTTATCAGAAAACATACAAAACACCGCGTCGGTAGAACACCAGACTCGCTGAAGTGATAACCGACCAGAGGAATACGATCCACCAAGCCATGAACACGGCCACTTCTTTAGCGAAAGCAGAGCAAGGCAGTAAACCACAAACAAGGATGTATTTATCAAATGAAATAGTGTCAATTTGAGATAAGCCAAGGAAGAGCAGTACCAAAACCGATGGTGCAAAGAATTGCAGAACTGCAAGGCATAGGTAGTGATTGTGCAAGAAAACCTTGGCTCGGCTGAAATCAAAATCCGGGACCTTGCTAGCATGCAATCTTTGATACCAAGACAAAACCTCTTCGTTCAAAAACATCTGCAGGTTCGAACGTACAGCGACAATTTGTGCAATTCCGGAGAGCAATAAGCAGAGAAGCCTAAACCTGGTGAATTCCGATTCCGAAAACCCCACATTTCCAACAAGTTCCTCCTCAGCTGATCCGCCATGGAAACTATTCTTGTTAACAAAGATTTCAGCAAATGGATTGATCCAAAGTAATGCAGTGAACATGGTTAACATGTAATTGGCATATAGAATCATTCTATCGAACCATCAACAAGAAATTATGGACAAATTACATCTAAGCTGATCAGTCCCAAGCCAAAAGGACCTTGCATTTTTCCCAGCAGGCATATACAGAAACCCAGCAATCAGTCCCATGAAAATGGCAATAAGAATCCTCCAAGACCCTTCGATCGAATCGAAATGGAAATCGAGAACGAGGGTACAATTCCAGAACAGATCACAATCCCTATAACAAACCCTAAAACACCAAAAATGGCACTAAATTGCTTCTCCGACCTCTTGGAAGCAGATCTCTCAAACGATATCTTGGCAAGAGCTAAAAAGGATTTGGTTAAACCAATGAATCACAGAATAACCCGAACCCTCAGAGCTACCCAAATACATGTAAAGCAACAAACAGGAAATACCCACAAAGGAGAAAAGAAAGGAATTGTGGTAATCGTTGAAGAAGAGCCTGGTTTGAAGATCTGGTTAAACCAATGAATCCCAGAATAACCCGAACCCTCAGAGCTACCCAAATACATGTAAAGCAACAAACAGGAAATACCCACAAAGGAGAAAAGAAAGGAATTGTGGTAATCATTGTGGTAATCGTCGAGTTTCTGCCTGAAGATCTGGGCATTGTTTTCATCGAACTCGAACTTCTTGTCTTTAGATTTGTTCCTCTTTTTGAGCTCCGCATTGGTACTGGACGACAGGGTTTGGTAACCATCGAGTCCGGGACCAGAATCCGAGTCAGTAGGTCGACGAATGGCGGCTCTGACGCCGGAAGATGAACCGCTGTTCCCTTGCCCGACGTTTTCAGGGTGAATATATGTGAACAGACCGTGAAGAAACAAAACGGGGATCTTGAGGAAAGGGAGGAATAAGGTGAGGGAAACACAGAGTAATGTTTGGAGAATGAGATTCTTGTGATCTTCAAAGAAGGGTAACATCGTTTTCCGATTGAGAGATCGAAGAAAGATCGTAAAGGTTTAAGCTTTGGAGATTTGGGACGTGTCTTGTATTGGGGAAAGTGAAGTACTTTAGCAGAGTTTGGTGTTTGGGTCGTTCACCTTGTTGTTTTTCTTCTGTTCTGTCAGGCTTGACTTCAATGGAGGCCTTGTATAACATTTTATGAAGAGGTACGAGTAGATTTGACATTTTTTGACAGAAACTCTTCAAGAAAAGGTATGGTTCTAGGCAGCTCTCATTGGGTGTCCACGATGCTCCAAGGGTGCCCTTCGATGAAGAGACATGTCTTTTGGTGAAGGGACGTGACTTAAGATAAGCTTAAACATAAGCATGTGGATTATATAATATATGCCTAGTAATTATGTAATATGCAAAGTACAGGGAGTATTGAACGGAAACATATATCCTACCACATAATGCATAATACTATATATAATCATGCCATGAATATAGAAGATGTGAATAGTATGAAAGACTAAATGTGAAATGATACGATTAATATGATGTACTAAGTATATTGTGATACGAATATGAATATGAATCACACTTATGAGTATGCATGCTCAAGATATAACATAAGTAAAGATGAGTAAGGATAGCAAAAGCTCCCTCCACTTTCATCCTTATGAATGAAGATAAAAGAGTAATGATTCTGAAAGTGGATTTCTGGAAGGCGTACGATTCGGTAGATTGGGATTTCCTTGGGCTGCTTATGAGGAAAATGGGCTTCAATTCTAGATGGAGGAAATGGATCAAGTTTTGCATCTAGTCGACATCCATATCCGTGCTAGTAAATGGCTCGCCTACGAGAAAATTTAAAATAGAGAGGGGGCTGAGACAGAGCTGCCCGTTATCGTCATTGTTGTTCAATCTCGTGGGTGAGGCTCTCAGTACTTTAATTAATAAGGCGATTGATGTAGGTCTGTTGGAAGGTGTTCCAATTGGTAATAGTGTTAAATCAGAGTTTTCTTCGATTAATTTAAAATTTTATTCGTACTCATTTTATTTAAAAATTATATATTGTAAATGGATGAGTGTCATTCTAAAAAATATTTATGATCCATCACCGGGACATGATTTGTGAGAGACATGTACTCTTGCCTTGTCGGATGTCTAATTCAACTGTTTCTTTTCTATTATCATACATTTAGTATCTAAACTCAGTTTTAGTCTGTTTTAATACTTAAATTTTTAAAAAAAAATTTCAAAATCATATATAATATTTAATTTTTGTTTCGTTTTAGTATTTGTCATTAAAAACTTAACGAGTTTAATACCTAAACTATCAATTTTGGTCCGTTTTAGTACCTAAATTTAAAAAAAAAATTACAACTTAACATTAAATTTCAAACGTGATACTAAAATAAAACAAAAACTAATTTTATATATAATTTTAAAAAAATTAAAAACTTAAATACTAAAACATATTAAAACTGATAATTTAAATATTAAATACGTAATTTACACTAATCTAAATTTGTCAAAGATTTCGATTAAATTGAATAATATGATATTTAGAAGAGAAAATGCTCATATGAAGGGTCAAATCAAGAAAGTAGGTAAGTCCACAACTTCGGCTTGCTTTTTAACTTTACAAAACATAAAACTCAAATTACGACTTTCCTTAAATATTTCTTTCGATAGCGACACAATTTTTAATGTTAATTGTTGATTTTGATATTTTTATTATTATTTTTTATTTTTTTATTTTTAATAAATTTATCATTGTGATTCTTTTTTATATGTTTTTATGATAGATGTTATTTTGTATTTTGGTACATTTTTCAATTGTTTGAACGTTGTTTTCAGTTATCTTTTTTTTAAGAGTTGATTTGACATTATCATGATTGATCAAGATGACACTTATATATTATATTATTGACCTTCTCTGTTTTGGGCCTTCATATTAGATTTAGATACTTGTTATGTGTTTGTAGATATCTTTTCACGTCACTCGAATCTGATTTACAGTTTGTCGGTAGTTTTACAGTAGCTTGATTTTAGTTCGTTTGTCGATTTCATTAAATCTGTTTGTATCTATCTTTGTTCGAGTTTTTTTAGTTTTGTTTTAATCTTTTCTCGTATAGTCCTTATATAATCTTAAGTTGTTAGTTTTGTTTTAACGATTATAGAAAATTATCTTAATTTTATGCTTAATTTACGATTACAATTGTAAAATTTTATTGTAATTGATATATTTACTATTTTGAAGAAAAAAAACTAATTTATTTAGTACTTCAGCTTTTATAAAATTTGTTATAAAATTTGTTTAATCAATACACTCAAATAAGTTGAAACTATAATACTATTTATTATAGAATTTGTTTCTACATGATCATGGAAGAGGAGGGATGCTTTGCTCATGTCGGAAGAAGTTTTCGGGATCAACTTTCGTCTTCACCTGCACCAATCTGTCGAAATTGTTGTTGAAATATTTGAGACCCCAGATCTTGGCTTTTTCGTAGTTGTTCTCGTCGTCGTCGTTGTCGATTTTGTTAGCCCCGATATCAAGATCTCGGTAATTAACGTACGCTTCTCGTGGAGATTTCGAAACGAATGGAGCCATGTAATCGTAGAGTCTCCTCATCCAATTCATGTACTTCTCGGAGTTTGCATTCTCGTCTTCTCCCCAATTCACTACGTATAACACGGTGTAGAGGTTGTCAGCTCGATGGGGAGATGGAGTTTCGGTCTCGGGGATCTCATCCATTATCCCTCCGTAAGCCACGAATACGATGGTCGCCGATCTCGCTTCTTCCACGTAAAGCTTGGACCACAATCCATCGAGTGCCGACACTGGGATCGGTTGTTTTACGAAGTCGGATTTTGCCTTGAAGAACGATTTCGAAAGAGATGATACTTGTGTCCTATTGAGTAGGAATTCCAATGGCAATCCGGTTCTGAATTGGGTAGCATAAATAGTAGTTTGAGCCCAACTCATTTCCAGGCAATGTTCTTTCGATAGTCCGAGTTCGGGGAACTTCACGCTCATCAATGGAAGAAACTCGTCGGTGGTTCCGAGAAATACCGAACCGAAGGTTGCTTGGACCATCATCTTCCCGTCCTCACTCGAATTTGCCCGTGATATGGCGAAGCTCGTGTGTACTTCTTTAGGAAGTATGTGCCCGACTGACTGCCATTGATGGACGAGTTCGGTCGCGTTTTGCTCCAACATTTTGGTGACCGAACACGAAGTGAGATTAGCGGGAACCGGGACCAATTTCACTTTCCAAGCAAGTACTATCCCGAAGCTACCACCACCACCTCCTCGAATCGCCCAAAACAAATCTTCTCCCATCGATTTTCTATCGAGAATTCGCCCTTTGACATCGATTAAACGAGCGTCGATAACGTTATCGGCGGCAAGACCGTATTTTCGAAATATATTACCGTAGCCTCCCCCACTCAAATGTCCACCGATACCTATCGTGTGACCAATTCCAGCCGGAAAGGCAAGAGTTGCACTTCTCCGAGCAATCTCATAGTACAATTCACCAACAGTCGCACCGGATTCAACCCACGCCGTAGCTTTCTCGACGTCAACCTCCACCGATCGAAGGTTCGCCAAATCGAGCACGACAAACGGAGCTTTATAAGCCGTGGTATAAGAAAGACCCTCGAAGTCATGACCGCCGCTTCGAGTTCTGAGTTGCAGTCCGAGTTTTCTGCAGCAGTAGACCGTTGCCTCGATGTGGGATGCGTGGAGTGGTGTTATAATGGCCAGAGGTGCAGGAGTAGACGGCGTTGTGAACCTGAAGTTCTGAGCAGACGAATCCAAAACGGAAGAGTAAGAAGAATTATGCCGTGTGTAAACGAGGCTTGCAATGGAAGAAGAGTTGCGAGAACGAAGGGAAAGACATTGAAGAAACTCCCCGGCAGGCTGAGCTGAAGCACTGATTCTCCATGGAAAGGAGAGGAGGAGGAGAAGAAGAAGAAATCTGAGCATGTTAATGGAAACGAAGTGAGAAAACTAATTTCGATTCTGGGCGCATGTAGAACCGTGTAGCGATTAAAGTATTAATAAAGCCAAGTTTGATGTACTGGGTCGTATGCTGCATATGAAAGCAGCGTTAAACAAGTCAACCCTAGCTGCTTGTTCTCGTCATTTTGGACTGTTCATAATGTATTCTTATGTGTGAGGATGAATTTTAGGAGATTCGATGGGAATGTTTGCATTATTTATTGGATAACATTATCGTGTACACAATTATATGTTTATCGATAATTTAGTTATTTTTTAATTTTATAAAATATGAAAATATATTTTTTGAAAATAAAATAAAGGAACTAACATCTCCACTTTAATAAAATAATAATAAAGGAACTAACATCAAAGTTTGACAAATCAAAGGTCAGCATTGTAGCCGTCCATTGCTCAACTTGCCATTGAACACGACTTCTATACGCCATTCGGGCAAAATTGTTCACGTAGGCCAAAGAAAAATAATTATCGGCTTTCGTAAGATTTTGTCGTAATTATTTTTTGATTTAGTGTAAATGTTATCCTACTCGTCGAGAGATGTCAAAAATATAATACGTTTTTTAGAAGACTTATGATCCTATTACGTCTTTTTCTTTGTGTTTGTGGTAATTTTGATATTCTAACTACGAGAAAAAAAGAAAGAAAAAAGTGATGAAAACATATTGTATTCTCGACATATTTTCTGATACTATGATAATCACACCATCTCAAAAAATAATTCTTCCAAAATCCTATTCGAGACAAGCCGATTACTTTTTCCAACGCCCCATGTAAGTAATTTTGCCCACGACTCCTATTTTTAATGTAATTTTAGTTTCTTTTATATCTTTTTGCATAGACTTGATATTAATTTAAATAAATATATTTAATTTGATTTTAATTTTGTATTACAAAATAAAAAGATTTTAAATAATTAAATAATATTAATTAATTTCACCGAATAAAATTTTTGGATGAATTATACGTTTAGTACCTAAATTATCAGTCTTAATCTCTTTTAATACCTAAATTTTTAAAATTTTTAAAACTGTGCCTAAAGTTTAGTTTTTATTTCACTTCAATACTCCGCCGTAAAAAACTTCAATTTTTGTTTCATTTTAGTACCCGTTCAAAATTTAACATTAAGTTTTAAAAATTTGAAAGTTTAGTTATTAAACACGTTAAGTTTTTAACGGCCGTGTACTAAAACAAAAACAAAACATTAGGTATTATTTTGAAGAAAAAAAAGTTCAAGTATTAACACATAAAAACTAAAAATTTAGGTACTAAATACGTAATTTACCCTAAACAATTTATTAAATTTGATTTGACTTCATCCGATGTTTACTTTTATTCCTCACATTGATGAATCGTGATGTAGCTTTTAGCATTTCTTATCGACCAATTGACAGAACACACACCATTATGGCATAATTGAAAAGTGAAGTAATAAACACGTTTCATTGGGCTTTTTTTTATTCTTTTAATTCTATGGTTTTTTTTTATTAATCCGAATTGATTCGTCTTACATATTTGATTTTATTAAACGAGTCTCTCAATAAAAAATTTCTACAAACTTACGTACACGAGAACTCAAACTCAAGACATTGCTCCAAAACACATTTCATTGCTAACAAAATAGTATTGTTCTAAATTTAATATCACAAGCTAAATATAATCAACTCATTTTTTAAATTAAACTAAGGTGATTATAAAGTAATAATATTCTAAATACTCTCAACCATGTGACAATAAACGTTCAATCACCCTGTAACAGACAGCAAGGGATGGCAACAGGTTTGGTTAGGATCAGATTTTTGATCAACTCGACCCAGCTCAAAAATATATACCTTTCACCCGACTCCAAACTGACCCAAAAATTTTATATCCTACATCCGACCTTACCTAAAAAAAATATATATCGATTTACTTTTCTAACACATCTCAAAATGTTTCGGATATCGAAAACTTATGTCTCAACACATATTCTTAATAATTATGAACTTTTTTACTGCACTATTTCACTAAAACAAATATATTTTTCTGTCTTGATTTTCCGATGTCCGATCGGACCAAAAAGTTGAAAGCATCTGAATTTTCCAGTGTCTGTGTCAAAGACAACAAAGTGGCATCATGATACTGAAATGTCAAAAACAAATTTAAATCCATAACAGGGCAAAAGGTTACAACAAGGTTACTAGTCTTTCTAAATTCCGGCTAGTTTCCTGAACTATATACACAGCTTCGAAGTCGGTAGCCTTCGGTTTTCACGGCCACTCTCCGTTGCGACGATGATGACTGTAATTATATATGGGATTTCTACTGATACCATGTTCTTTAGTCCTAGACTTACCTGCGACATCGTATTGTTGGCGTATGAAATTGGCTTGCGAGAATTTATCCATACCCACATCTGGCAAGGTCGAGTGATTAACAGATTGGTGCGGGGCAGAGATCGGCTGCTGCTGAAAACCATGCTGATTGTCGAGACCGTACTCGACTGGAATTGCCCCAGTTAGAGTTTTTATTGCGAATTCAATACACGGGTCTGCCCAGATATCTGCCAAAGGCGTCTCGAGGGATGATCCGACACGTTCTTTCCGAATAGTCGGGTAGGTCGGAGGCATATTGATACCACATCCTTGTCTTTCAACAATCTTGTTTCCGTTTTCTTCCCTATCGGAATGAGCTTCTGGAGTTGCTGGAATCCCTGGAACTTTACCACTGTTTGACTCGGAGATATTCGGGATGTCACAAGGAATTCCGGTAAGAGTTTGAATGGCAAAGGCAATGCATGGATCTGTCCATAAATCTGCAAGAGGCATATCAATATTGGATCCCGGCACGTCACTAGCATTTCCATCACCTTCAAGCTTTCCCAGAGGCAAAACACTTTTGTCTTCGTCGACATTAGTTTTTGTTTCTAAATTTCCGACGTGACCATTCACGGCTAGCCTGTCCCCAGAAGGAAGCATGTTACTTGTTTCCGGTATCGGTTCTTTACTCTTAGAAGCATCAAGGGCACAACTTGTTTCCAAAGAAGAATCGGGTAGATCGGGCTGTTTGGAGGTCCTATTGATACAGTTACCAAGAGAAGAATTCTCCGCTCCATCAGGTACACTTGTTTGGTTAATCGAAGATCCACGAGCTCTAGTAGCTTTTAGTTCTGGAGTTGGATCAAGTGCAACTCCAGCAAGTCGCTTTGAGGCTCGTCGAGGAACACTAACATCTTTCTTAATCTTGGTCTTGCCTTTTCCTTGTCGGGTTTTTTCAGTTTCGTCTTTTCTATCGTCTCCAAACTGTTTATCCGAGAGGACTCCAACGGCATTTCCCGAAGCATGCACGCCTTCTTCAGAATCTTTCTGTTCCATCTGTTCTGATCCCTTAGCTTCAGACAGGTTCAAGCTGCTCAACTCAGCACCTTCTCCAGCTGAGGCATAAAAGATAAAATCAGATCAGATCCATTACCCTATCGTATGTCATCAATAAGCATATCAGTAGAATCCAACGCCACAACTTTCATAATCAAACAGTCCGTTACCAAAGATTAAACAATAGATTCGGGGAATTGCAACACGAAGATTGACGAAAAAAAGATAGATTAATATGAATGAAAACATTAACCAAAGCTTCAAGGGATTGCAAATTTAAACCTTTACACTGATCCGGAGTATGTTTAGAGAGGGATGTCTGTTCTCTGGTACTAGCAGAAGTAAGAATCTCTTCTTCCTTTGTTATCCCGCTTGAATTCGAAACATGTTCCGCAGTCTGCCTCTCTATTTCATCAGTTGTTCCATTCACAGCTACCGGCTCCTAAGGGACATGAAACAACAATCACGAACCGGTCAACGTTTTGTGTAATTTGCATCAACATAGACCGCCTGCGAACAATTCCTCAAGGGAAGAGATGATGCATGCTGTTTCATGCACTTAGGGATGGCACCATTTAACAAATAAGACAGATCTTTCAAGCATATTCATCCTATATGTAGAAAGAAAATACACCCGAGATACTAGACATGCATACCGGAATAATAATCTGCTCGCCAAGAGAAAGAAAAAGGAAATGACACGAAGAATTTCACTTTTACGAAAATCTGTAATAAGACAATATGAACTCTCGATCTATAACTTCATATTCGCTAAGCGAAATGCAAGCACTTATATCAAGAGTAGCATCAACTATGTGTACGCTAACTTTTCTAGAGCCGTAGTGTGCATGTCGATGCCAATTTCAATCAGGAAAGACGGAATTGCTGATAACAATATACAAAAGACTAACAAATGTAACCGGGGAAATTAAATTTGATCACCTAATGTTAGCAAAGTTTTATATGGTATTAAACGAGAAATGCAAATAAAGAAGCTCGGATAAATCAAACATGATTACATTTACACAGATATTATCTTCTTCCAAGTCCTCATCGATGCTGCCTTTCTCCTTAGGCTTCGGCTTGATAGCAAGCTTTCCAAGCTCCCCGGTTTCAACATAACGAAGGGCATCCTTCATGGAACGAAACACATATCCACTCACAGGATCAGTGTAAAACTGCAACGAAGCACATATCAATTAATGTAACAACGATCAGTGTAAAATTTCACTAGAAAGCAAAGCACATACAAAAAATGTAAGGAAAAAGTTCAGTACAGGATCTTTTCTAACTCTATTTCCAGTCTTTGTTATCTTGACTTCCTTAGTCCATCCCGGAGGTAACCCTTCTGCCTCAGCCTTCTCAACCGTAACCTATATTGCTTGAACAATCAAAAAATTTATTGTTTAGTCGAACAAATTTCGGCAAAAATCAACATATAAGAAGATCAGATGTTATCAACAGACATTTTTCGAATATTGCTTTCCCGAGACTTTGTCTTTCTCTTCTGCTTTAGAACCATGCTTTTCAAGATAGCGAGTCACCTCCGTCCTGGAATAGAATCTAAGTTCACCACAGGGAGCATAGTAACACTGCAATAAACCCAAACGTCGTGTAAGCATTGAAATGAATCATCTCGTATTCAAAGTTGTTGCCAATGAGATGTTTTATTTGTTTGATGCATCCACCATAAATCTCAACTAGTATTCAAAAGCCAATCAAGAGAATAAATTCGAGAAAACTGCTATAGACATTCAAATACATTAACATAAACACTACGAGCGTTACCCTCGTCTAAAGAGAATATTGTTAAATCTCCGACTCTCCGTTTTATTTTCCAATAAGAAAGCTAATACAAATTCTCCTTGTTCTGGTTAAGGCCCTTCCCAGAAAATGAGAATACATAGCTAGAATTGTTAACCGAGATGCACCCTCGAACATGCATGAGGGTTAACATAATCATATTGCAAACATTTACTTTCTGATGATTCCGTTTTCCCTCGGACGACTCGGAACCTTTTTGCTCACAAGTCCAATTTTCAATGATCTCAATGATTTCACAGCCCAGCTAAGCTTTACACAAGAACCATCGGTTTCGTTCGAACACGAAACTAATTAACATTAACTAAACATCTCCATTACACAATATAATCACTGCATGATCATCAACCCTCCAACAACAACAAAACCAAATGGATAAAGCAGCTGTAGCATCCTCCAAGAACTCAAGTAAAAGGAGAAATTATTTCCTCGTCTATCCTAATTCCTAGCCATAAAAAGACAATAAATAAACATAAAAAGAGATAATTACAGCAGATTTAACAGTTGAAGCTAAAGATCTTATCTTTAACATGCTACAAAACTAGTAATGATGCACAAAAAAACATAAGCCATAAAGCAAAATAAGGTAAAAACAAACCAAGGATCTTACAGTTCCAAAGCTAAAACCTTGGAAAAGAAAGCAAAATTCTTGAAAAAAGGGTGTTGTTTGTTAACAAAAACTAACCGATTTAGAACATACCTTGTCTTCTTTACCATTCCTTCTCTGCCTCACCTCTACTTTCCAGCCGGGTGGCAGCCAGTCATCACTCTTCCGGTCCTCCATTTATTTACGACTCCCAACCCTCAATGGAGAAAAACTTCCGGCGACGACGGCGGAGGCGATGGGGAAAACAAGTGGAAAGAAAAAAGGGGGGGGTGTGTGTGTGTTTCAAAGCCCTTGAAGACTTTAAGATGGGAAAGTGTTGAATTCAAACCAAAGGGTATTGCTTTCCTCAGAAACCACGTGTTGCCGAATCTCACAGTGCTTCAACTGAAGGTAAAATAATGATGAAATTAATTGCTTTTCTTTATTAATGCACTAAGAACGAGAGAACCTCTTTCTTTCTTCACGGTCTACCAGTTGGGTCGAGTTTCGTATAGGACTGTAAAAGAACAGCAGCATATTCTCTACCTCACCTTTTGGTTTTATTAGTATTAAATTGTTTCGGCTTTGATCGAAACGACGGTGAAATGATTTCTCTTTGACGAAAATATTGAAATATTTATTAAATAGAAAGAAAGAACAGTGAATTGTGAAAGAGATGAAAAAGTAAGAACTACGTGACATGTGGTCGCGGCTTTGCTTGACACTTGCTTAGTTGGGTCCTTATATTTTTTTTGAGCTATTAATTTAATTCATTTATCATGTCATCTATCACGTTATCGATCATTATAGATTATCATTTTAGTGTTATAGATCACCACGTCAGTCTAATAAATTATCATGTGTAATGATCAACGATATAAAGCATTGATCAAATAGTCAAATTGAGTTTATTTCTTGGGTTGGAGGGGATATTGAGAAAAAAATAATACGAAAGTCATATTGATTTTTTTAAAGTATAGGGACCTCTGATGTATTTTTACCTTTTTTTTATAACAGTGTAGTATATGTTCTAAGACATCTTTCCTACAAATAAATAAGGAGTTAATAGTTATTTAGAAGTTACTTTGAGATGGATGAATCTTATTGATTGAGACTATAGATGATTTGGTGAATCTGTCCATCAAATAATTTCTCGTCGACAAGAGAAAAAGTTATGATTTGATTTTATAAAATCAGTAAAGTATGCAAATGGTCCCGACTAAACGATGTTGTTTGTTAAATTCTCTGACTATTAAAAGTTATAAAATGATTATCTGATCATAAGATGTTGTTTTATTGAGTTTTCTGAATATTGAAGTTACAAAATTATCATCTAACTATTCGTTATACTTTAAATTTATTTTTCTCGTTAAAAAATTGACAGCAGATTGAACTAATATCAATGGGTTCTCTTGAATATATATTAAAGCTAGGGCAACTCCAAAAGTTAGACTGTGACCTTTTTCATGTAAGATCATATGTTAAGTAAAATTCAAAGTGATTATTCGATTAAACGCTAGAGATATCTTTTAATATTATTGTCAAATCTTTTATTACATTCTTTACATACTTTCTACGAAGATCGATGTGATCAATTTTTTTAGTATTCTCCAAGTATTGGACCAAGTCCGGTAGTTTAAATAAACTCAAAATATGATTCAGAAACTCATTAGCAGCTAATTGCACACTAATGTGAGGCTTCAACTCACCGTTTTTGACATTCTCTATTGGGTCAAAATTAACTATTTGTAGCAAATGTCGTATATCTCAAAATTAACTTTTATATGTTCTATTTGTATCAAAAGATATAGGTTTATATACATTTTTTACCCTCAAACTTTTCAAAACAATTCATTTTAGTCTTTAGTTTTTCCCGGTCTCTTTTTGTCCTCCAAGTTTTAATTTTTCATCAAATTGAACCAACTGAAAGAGAAAGGCAGTAGATTTATAAGCTGATGTAAGTTATTAGGTACAACACTCATTTCCAATACAGATAACATTAATCTTCCTGTAATTGAAAAAACAAACGCTTGAGCCGAAACCGATCAATTATGAATCGGGTTCGGTCCGCCGGGGACGAGCCGATTCGAAACTATGTGAACCGGAGCGACCGTCTCGGTGCTGCCGGTCTTCCTGAGGCTACTGTGGACGGAGGCAAAGCTTCTCAAGAACATGGGAGCAAACTTGTCTCTCAATCTTTGTCCCATTTCTTCACTGCCGTCTTGTTTAATGTGTCTGCAACTGGTGAATCCAATAGATCCCAGAACGATGAGAAAGCTGAGTAAGAAGAGCAAAGAGCTTTGAGTTCTCATGGCAGAAGAAAGGTTTGTATGAACAGAATTGCAGAATTTGTCTTATGTATGTATGATCCTCATGTCTTGTGGTTTTATAATCAATGCTTAAGTTGGATTTAATAAATGTTTTTAAGTTTCTTTTTGATTATATGCTATCCATAGCATCTATTTATTGCTGAACGTTTTAGTCGATGAAGATGATCAATGCTTAAGTTGGACTTAATAGATGTTTGGGTAAATTATGCATTTAGTACCTAAACTATCATTTTTTGTATGTTTTAGTACTTAAACTTTCAAGTTTTCAAAATCATATCTAAAGTTTAATTTTTGTTTAATTTTAGTACCCGCCGTTAAAAACTTCAGTTTTTATTTCATTTTAGTTAGCATTAAGTTTTGAAAAAATTGAAAATTTAGGTACTAAAACGTACCAAAACTGATAGTATAGGTACTAAACAAGTTAAGTTTTGACGACATGGTACTAAAATGAAATGAAAACTAAATGTTAAGTATGATTTTAAAAAAACTGAAAGTTTAAATACTAAAACAAACCAAAACTGATACTTTTAGTACTAAAGGCATAGTTTACCCTATATGTTTTAAGTCTATTTTTAATTCTATAGTATGTATAGCATCCATTGGTTTTTTTTTTAAATCATCCTTTAGAAGATTGAATTCGTTCTCATATGTCGTGAAGTCAATGCTGCAGTAGACTTCCTAGTAAAATCTATCGTCGTTACAAATGATCAATCATGCATATACATAGATCCTCCCCAGGAGATAATATCTCATCTTGCTCGTGATCTTCATGGTCCTGCTTTTATTCGCACTTAGTATTTCATTGTAATAGACTTCTTTTAATTAAAAAAAATCATCCATTGCTTTACAAATAAATTTATTTATTTAAACGTTATTCCTAAAGTATTTTAAAGGATAATTAATTCGTATTTTCCGATACTCATATTAAACATGTATTTTGAATAGATATTATCTTATATTTATCTCAAATTAATAAAAAAATATCTTTTGAAAAAAAAAATATATTCTCTAATATTAAAATGATCATATGATTTTATACATTCCAACGAAAGAACTAAATAGGTCGATAACGTATATTTTATCATATATATATTTTTAATTTAATCATACATATTATTTTGAGGAATAGAATTTTAGATAAATGCATAATACCTAAAGTATTAATTTTGATCCATTTTAGTGTTTAAATTTTCAATTTTTTTAAAACCATACCAACGTTTAATTTTCATTTCATTTTCGTATCTCACCGTTAAAAACTTAATGCGTTTAGTACCTAAACTATCAGATTTTATTCGTTTCATTACTTAAAATTTTAAACTTATTCAAAATTGAACGTTAAATTTTGAACAGAATACTAAAATCAAACAAAACTAAAGTTTTTAACAAGAGTACTAAAATGAAACAAAAATTAAATTTTAAGTATGATTTTGAAAAAACTAAAAGTTTAAGTACTAGAACGAACCAAAATTAATAGTTTAGGTACTTAACGCGTAATCACCCTAGAATTTATAGGGAAAAAGAGAAATCTAGACAGTGATTCAAGTATGTTTTAAAATGTCAACAATTCCAACATGCATAGAGAGACCCACAATATCTCTTTTCATAGCTCATTGTGCAGGAACAACAACTTTTAACAGAAATTAACATCCCAATTTATTTTTACGGAACTAAACATTTAGGCAAGTTTGCTACTAGAGTATCTGCAGTAACTTAAGGTTTTATGTTTATATGGAATTCGATTCACATTCGAACAACGTAACACCGTCTCTTCTGGCACGTCATGTCCAGTAGAAAGACCGATCACCTTCTCGAAACGGACACAGCTAAGTCCGAAGTTGTTACTCGTCCTTAGTATCTGCAGGATAAGCCTTTTCCTCCGTTTCGACAACCGGACTTTGTGATGGACTGTCTTCAGCTGGCTTAGCCTCACTTTCTGCAGCTCCTGAGGCTTCACCGTTGGCATCTCCTTCGGTTACTGGAACCGTCTTCTTGATGGTTCCAACCTTGACATACTTGCTCATGAACTTGTACTCCCAGTCCTGCAATGCGTCCAATTCGAATGGACCGAGACCCGAAATGTCCCCTGTTAGATCTTTCTCTTCGAAAGACATCTTTGCAAGAGCTCTGCTCGCGTCTTTACCAGCAAACAATGCGTAAGGTCCACCAGGACCATAAAACATTCTGCAAGAAAGATAAACATATCAGGTAACAGCCAAGAACGCGCGATTCTCGCATAGATATGACTAATCTAGCCTCTTGAAAATTCAACAATCATAAAGAGTTTCAGCACAAATTACAATAAAGATCACTTAAAATGTGATAAGTACTCCCAACACATTACGAAAGGTTCGAATACGACAAAATAGCAAACCAGTATGGACTACAGAATCACAAAAAAAGGCTCAATGCTCGAAATAAAGTACTACTGTTGTACATAATGCACATTACTATAAAACTATGTCAGTTGATTACCTTTTCTGAGATTATTAATTGAAGTTTAATAATCCATCCAACCAAATAGGAGAAAACAGGAGCATAAGTAGTTTGTGCCTTAGAAATAAACCAAAACACATCGGATAGGACTAAAGTCGGGTGAAATGAAAACAACATATTAAGCTCAACCAAGTTCAAGCTTACCTCAAACTCAAAGTCTTTTTTTCTCGATCCGTGTTAATTTCATGCATGCTGGTTACCATATTAGAGAAAGGGAAGACAAGCAAGACACAAGACAGAGGTGTTATCCTATATAACTACTGAAAAATAGTGCTCTAACTATTAATTGGAGAGAAACAAGGTTCACATACAAGACAATTCGGTCTCATCTCTTCGCTTAATTGAATCGAGTATATACTAGTATTCGAGAATCAAACAAACTTGTATCAGAAAAGATACAAAAGCATGCTAACACCTATGATCATAGAACCAGATTAAAGGGATGGCACCATATTATTCAATTTTCATTCTTCCTCAGTCAAAACATGTGATTCAGGGTCAAAGTCTTGGACTTTTAATTAGACAAGCAAAATCAAGTAACAGAAAATTACTTGCAATGAACTACTTTGATTAAATTTCATATATGATTTTATCATATTCATCTCACAATTTGTGAACTGATCACCCAATCTCAAGAAATCAAATGCAAACTTTCACTGTAATTACATGGAGCAACTCATATGTTGGCCAAAATCATATGCTATAAGATTATTAAAAAAAGACAATTCTAAAATCAATAAACTAAAAAGAAATCAGCAGAAAAGCAAAAGGCTGCAATCAAGAAAGCTTTCCAGTACAATCATGAGCTAAAAGCAAGTGAAAGGTAATGATATAAAGATAAAAAATTAAGTAATTTCTAGAAATAATGAAAAAACCCAAATTTCACAGAAAAATTTAAGAAGTTTTAAACCTGCTTTGAGAAACATCATAGATCTGGCTCTTGATAGCCATGAGGAGTGGTTTCTTAGGATCCGACCCATCATACTGCTTAAGTTCCTCCTCAGTAATCTCGCCGAGCTGAACCGGTGGCGGGAGCGGCTCCATCTGCTCCTCCTCGAAAGCCCTGGACCGTTGGTGGTGATGATCATCGGATGACCTGAATAGACCGGTTGCTACATAGTAAACGGCCCACAAAAGAGCAAGAACCGTGAAGAAAGTGGCCGGAGATAGACCCGTATAAGCAGTTATCACCTCCTTCAAAGTCTCCCATACCTGCAAAGCCATCGCTTTCGATTTCCTTTAGCGAGTTTCGTCTCGACTCAGTGAGTCTGGTCTGAGAACTACTGAGTAGAGATAGCTTTGTCGCTCTTACCTTCGGTGTTTTCTGTCTGTAGTTATTTAAACCCACGTTTCTCCCTCAGATGAACCAATTTGTAAATCAAATTTTGCAAGTCCCTAAACCGTAATTAATTAATAAAATGAGATGTAAATTGTAATTAAATAATATAAATAAATTATAAAATTTAGGATTTTATATACTAAATTAAAAATACCAGGATTAATTAATTGGTTAACTAATTAAATATGCTTCCAGATCATTCAACAAATACAATTGGCGAAAATACAGCAGAGATCCCTATATTTTTTAAAAAAATCAATATAGCTCTTATATTTTTTTTTCTTAATGTGACTATATCACTTAGAAAATAAAATAAATTTAATGTGATCTTTTAATCAAAGTTTTTCGTCATAATTGTTACCGAGTTGACGTGACAATTCACTGTACTGATGTGACGTTTAGAGTGTTGATATGATAATTCACGATGATTGATAACATAACAGATGACATAATAGATTGATTAAATTAGTAACTCATACATGACAAATAAATTGTCACGATTGTACTATGGACCGTAATATCAAGACCTTAAACTACCACGCTAACATCATAGCGGTCAAAGACGGAAAAATATTGATCAAAGAGTCACATTAAGTTTTTTTTGAGTTAGATAGTCACATTGAGACGAAAAATAACACGATGACCACATTAAATTTTTTTTCAAAGTGCAAGGACCTCTTATGTTTTTTACCAATTAATATAATTATGTTTGGTAAATCTAGAATATTGAATTCTCCGCCACCATTCTGGACTGAGGTCATGCCTGTCGAAATGGAATACTATAGCAGACTTGCAGTATTCAACATTTACAATTATTGATGGCTGGCCAATTATATATATCATGCCATGTCAGAATCCATTTTTTCATTAATTTCAATTTTATATATTAAATTCTTTAAAAAATAAATAATATATATTTAATATAAATACCTTTTTACCAAACCATTCCACTTCTTTCCATCATCTTCCTCTAGAAAATCAATCTAAAATCAAAGTCTGTTCATTTCAACACTTAAGATGGAACCCATGAAAGCAGTACTATTTTTAATGAAAACATAATCAGTGTACTACGAACAAGTGGTGCCGGAGCCGGAGCCGGAGTCGGGATCATTTCTTCCCGACGTCTCGACACTCGATAACATACCCATTTCCCCAAATCTTACCTCGATCTAGAATCGGGTCATTTCTTGGAGCAGAAGTAAATAATATTAGGTAAGAAACTGATGGAGATATCAAGAGTAAGTTGGCTGCCATTTGACCAAGTAAGCGTTACAAAAATTACAAAACTTCCTCAGATACAATGGTATTCTATTCACAAAATCGACGGACGGATCGAACAACCAAAGGCATTCGTACAAGTTACCTGTGAAGCATTTACCTGTTTAATAATTCCCTTGCAACGCCTCTAGCCTCTTTCAACAGCCGAAAGCTTTCTTCAAGGTCATCATCCGTTGTTGCAGACTTCAATTTCAAAAGCACGTCCCCGAAAGCACTAACGAATTCTTCCGGATCCTCTGTCCTTCCACTATGGAAGCCAGCAGTAGATGGTAATATGTTCTCTTGTCGCTGCCTTTCTCCTGATTTTTCTCCCACTCTGCTGCTTTCAATTGTTTCCAGTCTTGTAGCCATAAAGATTGCTTTATTAATGCATGATGAAGGCAGCTGCATCATATGATAAAGTATTAAAACAAGATATGAAGTTGTCGAGAATAGAATGTTCATTCGTATTCACAGATGGATGCCAGAACTGGCCTATCTTGGTAAAATAGCAGTGAGAATGTCGAATGTTGTCAAACTGATGTCTAGCAGAGTTCAAGTTTCAGCTTAGATTGTTCGGTTTTCTAGTTTACATTCAGAGAGAGGGATACCTGTGCAAGCTGTGCAACCTTGAAACCAAAACTCCGAGCAGAAACACCAGGGACGAGCTTATATAGGTAAGTTACATCATGATCAGATTTTGCTTCGGGAGTACTCTCGTCATTACATGAGGTCAGATAAGAGACGTGGTATGCCTCCACAGACCCAGGAAATTTAACTTTAATGTCGGCAATTTTAGGGTAATGGGTCACGAAGAGGACCATGCATTTTTTCTGATCCAGCAGATGATGCAATGTAGCATAAGCAATAGCTACACCATCATGTGTACTGGTTCCTCTTCCAAGCTCATCAATGATAACAAGCGACTTTGCAGTGCAATTCCGGAGTATCTGAGAAGCCTCACTTAGTTCCTCCAGAAAGGTACTTCTCCCTTGTTGGATACTGTCAGACGCACCTATGCGCGTGTAGATGGCATCTAACACGGGCAGAGTGGCTGATTCTGCTGGTACAAAGGACCCAACCTAGAAAGATCAGTAGGCATGTTTCAAAACAGCAAGCGTTATTTCAAGAAACACAACGAAATGGGAGAAACTCAACATCAGAGGGATCATTTACTTAAAAATGGAAGGTGACAGGAGAGAATTTGATAAATTCACCCATCTCATTGCATAATGTGAGACTATGAAAAAGAGCTTGTGAAGAGAACAAGATCAACACCCAGCTTAACATTATCACATGTACTATAATCATGCCTTTGGAAGAGTGAATCTTGAACTTGTAATAAATGAGAAATATATTTATATATCTTTCTTTTTGGGACAAGTGCACATGAACTAACTAAAGCAAATATGCATAAATGAACTTAGTGGTTAAAAAAAATGAGAGACGTTACATTGACGAGAAGCAAGGAGGGGAGGAGAGTGGGAAGAGAGAAGCAATATAGTAAGCTCATATTCTACCTGAGCCATCAAAGCAATTAGAGCAACCTGGCGAATGTAACAACTTTTCCCACCCATATTAGGACCCGTAACAATCTGACAATACTCTCCATCTGCACGCAATATTGTGTCATTCGGAACAAAACTGTCTTGTAAGATGGTCTCCACTACCTGATGGAACATACCACTCAGTAAAAAAACACCCCACAGCAATATATCTACTATAATTTATACAAAGAACTTAGTTTTAGGTTAAACATCATCAACATCAATCATGGTGGTTAATAAGGCAAAATAATGCCATGTCAGCATTGGATACATGTGGAATGTCATGTAGCATCCACATCAGCAAGTTAACAGTTCCGTTAAATTTTTCATCCAATTCTGTTTTATATGACAAAAAAATAAGCTAAAAGAGATTGAAAAAAGTAAAAGAGCCAAAATGACCCCTTTTTTCGAAAATTTTGAAGGTGAAAAAATCATTCTGCCTAAAAAAATCCTTCAAAACTTTCCAAATAGGTTCGGTTTTAAGTGAGTCGAGATGGATTTAATGTGTTTCAAACTTGAGCTTCAATAGTTCAACTTACAGGGTGGCGGCCAGCGTGGATTTGTATTTGAACAGGTTTCCTGTCCTCCACAAAAATAGGACGGACATAATTCTGTAGCAAACAATTGAAAATATAACAAATATCAACTTAGTCAGATCAAGAACAAAGCATTAAGGTTCACCAAGTAGGTACCTTATTTCTTGAAAGAACGGCAAGTGAGTGCAAACAGTCCAGAGCAGCAAGTGCTTGAACAGCAGCGTAAAAGTCCACATAATATTCTCCAATTTCCCTAAGAAAGCTGTCCCATGCAGCTCGACAGATAATGGTGAGCTCTTCATTTGCCAGACTTAACTGGTCTAGAGCAGTCAATACTTCAGGTGGATGATACCTTATTGTTTTTTTGGTACTGTTTACCCTAACCCAGTTTGAAGGTACCTTGGCATCTATAGGCAGCTGCATAGACATTGAAGTGGTTCAGAGCCACATAAACCAACTAGGGGTGCAAGAAAACAAAACTGCATGGAATATTATTATAGCTGTCTGGAGTACTTATTATGATATTCCTGTATATACAAATAAGCCGACCTCTACCAAATGTGTAGTTCCTGCCACACATGTAAATTCCAAATTGCGATTCCCAAATTGTTTTCTGTATGATCCAATCATATTATCCAGTTTGACCTTTGCCAACTGAAGTGCTCTCCGAGCGGTAGCAACCTGCACTAACCAATCAACCCAACAGGATTTGAAAAGGCAACAAAATCGATGATACAATAGGAATAAAAAGAGTAAAATTTTAAATTACGAGATCTTGACTTCATCCAAGATACAAACCTCAGGAAATTGGTCTTTAGATATGATGATTAAGTCTGTAAAATCCCCTTTATCAGCTGCTTCTTTGTTTAGGGTAGAAAGTAGTTTGACAGCAATGCCAAGTACCTTGGATGATGAAGCAGTCAAAATCAACCTTTTCAACAGAGTAGACTGCACAGTTGCAACTCCAACTTTTTTGCAGCCATGATCCTCATATTCTTCATCAATATGAAGCCGCTTAAGTTGCTTTCCAGCAGACAAAATAGCTTGAATAACTGCAATGAACTATACAATTGAATCCTTAGGAATTTAAACAATAGCACCCACCATTAAATCTAGGTTGTAGCAAGGAAGCATAGCATTGTTATCAATGGCTTAAATGCAGGAGAAAAAAAGAACATCAAGTTACTAGTTGCAAATTTAAATTTAAAATTCATCTCCATCATTAGTAAAAATCCTAAACATGCTGCCAATCAACAAACTTAAGAAATCATAGTGCCAAAACCCAACTGTAAAATTACACATTTACATATAAAGAAAACAAAAAGGGCTTCAGCCAAAAAGAAAGGAAGAGCCTTGTGAACCTGGTTACTTGAGTAATTGTTGCTTCCCTTAGCATACACAACAACAAAGATAAAGAGGATGACAATACCTCTGTTGGGGTGGCAGTTCGATGGAAGATTCTTGTTATTCCACGTTGAATGTCAGGTGATCTTCCTAAGAAAGTTAAAACTGAGGAAAGCAAACATGACAATTCTGTTTGCATAGTAGTCAAGTCAGAATCTTCCCCCTTGATCTCAACTATACTCTGAGAGTCTTTATAAGACCCCATGGACAGAGCGATTTCAGAAACAGCATCCAGTCGAGCAGATATCATGTTTCTATCACATAATGGGTGAGTAATCTGTTTAATGAAGCAAAAGTCTAAGGTGAAACTGAAATCATACATTAGGAAAAAATATGGAGAAACCACCAGAAATCAGACTATGTTTTATCTCAAATACCCAGTGTCTTAAAAGCCTCGATCCATAAGTAGTGAGAGTATGATTCATGATTCCAAGCAATGAGCCAGATTCAGAACCGTCTGAATTATTCCTCAAAATCTGGAGATAGCAAAAGCATGTGTTCAGAACAAGGTTTTGAAAGAGAAGCAGAAAATTCTGATAATTTCAAAGGAATCATTTTGGATCTCACAGTGATAGGTACACTAATTGAACCTCACAATGACCACAAATTGACACTACGACAACCATTAGCTGATCACAAACGCTTTATGCCATTTTGTGGTGGGAGAGTCAAAAGGAAACTTGAATACGAGTAACTAGGCAGTAAATGAACAGATAACATGGAAATCTCGGGAACAGATATATACACAAAATAATAAAACAATTACCTCTAATTGTTGAAGTGCATTTGCTGAAAGGTTCATCTCGATCCTGCTTGATAAGGAGCGGAATGAAGCTCCAAAGCACAAAATTCTTTCAAATCCAAATTGCTTGAGATGCTGAATAGTTAAGGCCAATGCTTGCAAAGCCAAATCTGGCATGTCCATGACACCCTTGAAACCAAAAGTCAAGAAAGTTGATTGATACATTAGAACAAGATCAATAAAAAACAATGGTTTAATGATAGAAAGAAATCAGCTTAGTATTATTACATGGGGAAAAGGTAGACAAGAAGTCATAGTTGCTATCTATGCTAACATATTTAATTTTTGCAAATTAAAATGTGTAAGATTGACAATACAAATTACCAAAGAGGTTACATAACAAAGAGCAAAACAAACCCCACAAGAAACCATACTTTAAATGCAATGGTTATCAGTGCGCAAAAGTTGCAATCAATACCACACCTGAATCAAAGAGTGAGAGTTTCCCTGTTCTGTAGCCTCTGCTAACTGATGCACATTATCTGCTAAATTATCTTCAACCATCTTCTCATAAACAGATATCAAATCCTCACGTGCACCACCATCCTTGAAACAATCACAAGTGACATGCTCCAGGCGAACATTCGAGGCAGGTCCAGCATATGCCAGTAGCAACTGATACATGTATCTTATTATCAGAAAACTTTTGGAAGAAAGGGCCTCTTAATAGTGAAATGGTTCATCTATAGAATTATTCTACAAGATACCCCCTTTTTGTTTTCATTGTTGAATGAGCTAGATGCACTGGCCAAAATTCTAGTTAATATTCAAATTTAGTGTTAAAAATGAAATGTCCCCGTAAACATGCAACTTCATAAACTATAACAATAATAAAGTAGATACCTTTTCTGTTTGTTTTGAAAGTGCTTGTCCAAGCAATAACTCGGCCGGAGCCAAGCTCAAAACCACAGCTTCAAGCTCACTCCTCATAACCCCGTCATCAAACTCACCGTACACGACATCCCCGGTTGAAATCTCTACTCCAACAATTCCAATCCTCACATGAGCCCCACCCAAATTCGAAACCGACCCAGATAAATCCAAACCTTTCTCTACAACACAAACTAAATAATTACTCTCTGCACCACACCCTTCCTCCTTCCCTCCCACATCCTCCGCCGCCTCCAGCGTCGCCTTAGTGTACAATGCCGACAACCCTCTGCCAAACGGGCCAACCCGGTTGGAACTGTGCGCCTTAATCGCAGCTGTTTCTGTCTGTTTCACCACCCCAACCTTGTACCCGGCAGTAACCAGCCTCCTCACATGAACATTCAATCGAAAAGTTGGCACACTTGCTGTTAAGAAGTTGCGATCAACATGGGCGTAAATTCCCAACACTTTCGCGGCTATCTCCGCATCTTTCCCGAAGAACCGAAACCTGTAACCAACTTTCACCATGAGGAGAACATCCGGGTACTTGTTTTTCAAATCCACAACTTGCTGTTCCAATGGAGTGTAGCTTTTGTGGTCGGATTCAGAAGGTTCGATGGAACGTTCCGGAAGAGGTGGTGAAGATGGTTCGAGGAGTTTCTGTAGGAACTTCTGGTGGAGGGAAGGATTAGACTGAGGAGGAACCGGGTTAAGCGTGTGGGGGGGAAAGCGTGGTTTTGGGTCTTTTAGGAGTGGAAGGGAGGTGGTCAGAGAGAAGCTTGCGTTTCGAAGGAGAAAAGGATACCGTTGTTTTTACGTTAGGGGATCGAATCCGCGGCGCCGGCGGAGGAGGAGGAGAGGACGACGATGGGTTTGACGGTGGAATTCTGGGCTTGGGAGCAAAGAAGCGAGAAATCACTTGTTGCTTTTGCTTGCCCATGTTTTGGCAATCAATCAACTGATCAACTAAAATGAGCAAAATTTCAGAGAGATGATGAATTTCGAATAGATGGAGCCATTGAAGTGGAGGGTTTTCTTCATTTGGCGCGCTTTACACTCTGCTTGATCAACAAATCTGCATAAAACAACGCCGATCGGCCGACCCGAGGCGCAAAATTGAAATCGTATTGGGCCTTTGATGAAGGTCATCAGAATCTGGCTTAGGTTAACGGATCTTTTCCATTAGGGAACAATTTGAGCCTAATGGGCTTCTGCCCTTTTAGTGCAATTAGGAAGTCAATCAAAATCTCAATATTATTACTAGTATTATGTATAAAATAATACTTTTTATTAAAAAATATTAAAATATTTTTAAATGTAAATATAGAGGATGTTACTGAAGTTTAAATGGTGTATCGTTTATACCTCTGAACTCTCAATGGTAATATTGAAACTGAAATTTGATTTTTACTTTAATTATATCATTAGATCGTTAACTTGACAACATAATGATAATATAAATAACGATTGTTGACATGGATATCACACTAAAACGATGTTATTATATTAAAGAAACTTGAGAAAAAATAGCGAACGTTCTCCGTGGGGCTTTAATCAGGATTGTTTTAATGTGACATCCACGACGACAGCTATGGTCTACATCACTACACCAATAATGATTTAGTGATATAATTAAAACGAAAAATAATATTTTACATTATAATTAAAACAGTTAAATATCTGGTGTATAAATAATACACACTTAAAATTTAATGGCGCCTGATATAATTTATCCTGAAAGATTAAATCTTAGAGAATCTATAAAATTTAGATTCATGTACATCCTTAATTACGACTATATATTTTTGGGTAAAGTACATGAATGGTCCCTGATTATAGGGTATTGTTTTATTAAGTCACGCAATTATTGAAAATTATAAAATGGTCATCCGACTATAGAGTGTTACTTTGTTGAGTCCCTCGATTATCAAAAGTTACAAAATGGTTACTCGACGAATGTTAAAAACATGTCATTTTTTGTTAAAAATTTGGCGGTATTTTGTGTTTAACCATTAACTTGCTGACTGTGATATAATAAAATATGATCCGAGAACCTCAAACGACTATCATATATGAGTCATTATGTTAACGTCCAACTTAGACAACCACCAAATTTTTAACGGAAAATGACGAGTTTGAAACATAATGAATAGGCGGATGACCATTTTGTAACTTTTGATAGTCGAGTGACTCAACAAAGCAACAATCTATAGTCGGAGGACAATATTACAACTTTTGATAGTCAAAAGACTTAATAAAGTAATATCATATAGTCGGGATAATTTGTGTACTTTACCCTATATTTTTATAGTTAAAAAAGTTTTTTCAGTCAATTTTAATCACCAATATGTCACGGTGACAAGGCTTGATTGTCAATTCATGGTACCGACATGTATATATACATACATACGTATAAATAATACGATGTGGACATAGGGTTTGTAATATACGGATCTGATACGGTCGTGGTAGCTACTCGATCTGCTGTCGTATTCCTCCCAATACTCGTATCATAGAACCTTCCATTCTGGTCGTCGCTGGTTTAGGTGAATCATATAATATATATTTAATTTAATACGTATATCTTTTTTAAACAATACTAATATATTCCCACATGTTTAACTATTCATCCATGCATCATGACATCTTTTAGAATATCATTTGTACAATTATTTTAGATTTTTGTTTTGTACAATTAACATTAGAATAAAGGGTAAAATATGACTTTAGTACTTAAACTATCAGTTTTGATCTGTTTTAGTACATAAACTTTCAATTTTTTCAAAATCATACTTAGCGTTTAGTTTTTTTTTTCATTTTAGTATCCTGCCGTTAAAAAACTCAACGTGTTTAGTACCTAAATTTTTAGTTTTGGTCTATTTTAGTACATAATCTTTCAAAGAAAAAAACTCAAAACTTAATGTTAAGATTTTAACAGGGTTATTAAAATAAAACAAAAAATAAACGTTATGTATGATTTTGAAATAATTGAAAGTTTAGGTACTAAAATATACCAAAATTGATAGTTTAGGTGTTAATTTACCATAGAATAAATTATGTGAAAATAATTCAAATAAAATATTATTATAAATATATTATTTTATTATTAAAATTAAATAAGATGTTAAGTGTGATTAATTTAATAATAATGTAAGATCTTAATCGTATATATTTTATTAATTTAGTCATAATTTAATAAATTTAATCATTTGTTATTTAAAAATATTATTAGTTTAATATTGTTTACAATATTCTTAAATCAAATGAGTTCGTCAAATTAAAACAACAATTGAATAATTACACTCTATTGCAAAATATCAATGAGTTACTATTAAATTATTATATTACGATACGGATAAAATAAAATAATATTTTTAAAAAAATAAAAATATTAAAGGTTAGTTCGACTCGTGATAATTTTATATATTTTATATCATGTTTGATAATTCTGAAAATAATAATTATTAATTATTAATTTTATATTATCTCAATAATTATGATAACTTTGTTCACTAATTACTTAATTATTGAAAATTAGCTAAACTAAAAATGCGTGACACTTATAATATATATGACATATCGCGTGTACGCTGTCACAATTATTTTTTGTCTCTAAGGAAATAACATTGGTGCGTGTGACATGCCATCTACCGAACCAGCTAAAATAATTAAGATGACCAATTAATATAATATATAGATCTAAATCCAATTATTATTTTATTGTTAATACAGATATTTATTTATGAACTCGGCCTTTTCTTATTGTGCTTGTGTGATTAGTATATAAAATTAATATATATTAAGAATTAAAATTTTATATATATATTAAAAGTCGACCATGGATGGGATTCTAATCGATTTATGTGCCTAGGGCACAAAGGCGGTAAATTCAAAAAATATGAAATTCATTAATTTATATAATTTGGGGTAAATACAAGGTAGTATCTGTTAATAGATAACTCTCAATCTTTCGATAATGAACGTTCATACCTCTATCATCTATGGTGCTCGACTACGTGTATGTATGTTAGGTTAGGAGCAGGAACGGACCTATGTGCCCCTCGAGGTAGCAGTTGCATACCCATTTTCCTTAAAAAAAAATATCAACACTTAATACACTATATTAAAACTTCAAAATTCTCCACACCTTTTTTATTTTATTTTTTACTTTTATGCACATTTGTAGTTGAAATTTGTGCTCTTTTCTGCACACTTTGTTTTGTAGTTGAAATTTGTACTCGGAAGTTGTCAATCTATTCCATATTTTCAATTAAAAAACTAATTAAAATAATATGTATCATTTTAAAATCGTTCATTTTAGCTATTACTAATACTAAAGCTTCTGTTTTGCGTGTTCAAACCCACATACTCCAACCCCACTGCTATTCAATTCTCATTTCTCAGCCTTTTTTTGTGCCTAAACCACCCGCCACGACGTCGTTCACCAGCGATTTTTCGGTGAACTTCCTCAATCAAGTCGTCGGTAAGTTGTTGCTCATTTATTTTGGACCCCCATTTTTTAATTCCTGAATCCGCCACTGGTTAGGAGATGTATGAAATCCTCGTATTTTAGAGAGAAAAATTAATTAAGTCTATATTATTTTTACATCTAATTAAAATTTAAAATTAAGAAATTAAATTAATTAATTTATCGAATTGAGAAATCAACATTTAAGTCGTTTAATATATTTTAATCATCGAGTTTAAACAATTTTTTAAGATATTACAATCACGCGACATATTGTGAATCTATCATGTAAGATTTATAATTTTTCAAATAAAAATTTTAAAAATATTAAAATTCTAAAATTTTATAAACCATAAACCCTATTTTTCATTTTTAGATTTAACAATCAATATCAATTAAAGAAATTAATTGATAAATTTTTAAAGCATACAAAATTTAATTAATTGTAATTTTTTTTTTAAATATTATTGATTGTTTTAATAATTCCTATTTAGGGAGGAGAATTTTTGTTTAATGAGTATTGAACGCATAATTAAAATAAAAGAAAATATGTCAACCGATAATTTTTTTTAAAATGTTTGAGGATTATAAAAAATTCAATATGTGTATTTATATTTATGAATAAATTGAGAACTTATTATTATTATTATTATTATTATTATTATTTTGTTGAATATAAATATTTGTTTTGTTAGGTCGTTTATAGTAATAATTTGGTAAAAATAACTATTTTGACTTTATGTATTTGTTCTTTTACGAGTTATTAGACAAAAATAATAATAATAAGAATTAATGTTCAAATAAATATTTAAATTATACTTTTATGTCAAATAAGTGTCTATATTTTTTTTGAATTATGAGGGTGCCTAACATTACAAACGTCAGCACTTTAGGTGTTCGGGCTGTCAACGACATTAATTTTCATTGTTAAGTGACACGTGTCATAACCTGATAATTTTAAAATTTATTTTTTAAAATATTTAAAATATTATTATATTTATAAAACAACCCTAACTTTTCTTATATTATAAAAGTCCCAAAACCATAAAAAATTTCAATGATATCTGATATCCTTATTAACTATGTTAGAATAATAGTTTGGTCATTGAACTTTCAAAAACTATAAAATAATTATTAAAGTTTTAAATTATAATAAAATGATTATTAAATTTATAAATTATAATAAAATAATTATTAAATTTATAAATTATAATAAAATTTATCAAAATATTACCCCAAAAAATAACCATTAAATTTATCAAACTTTTATAAATAAATATAATATCATAATAACCAATTTATAACAATTTAATAAACTTAAACAGCCCCGATAACTAGGGATGAACAAGAGTAAGGTTTTCGGTCAACCCGTCCCGACTCAAAAATATATAACCCAAAAATTGGTATATATATATATATATATATATATATATATATATATTATATTTTTAATTAATAATCTATTTTGACTATTTCTAAAACACTATAAAACTGTTTTTTCTTAAAATTTTATAAGTTAATCCTTAACGTAAAATCTTGGTCCGTCCCGACAGTTTTTTCATCGGTTTTTGTTCGGAAAAACCTTGTTGGAAACCGGTGCGAGGGCTGACACATGACACCGGCTGGTCTAAGCCACCAACCCCAAAGTCTTCCATCTTGGTTGGGTTTATTAATCTACCAAACCTGCTTCAATGCGAATGTTGTAATTGATCTTTCAAATATTAATCAATTACTTAAGTTTCATTCTAACCCTCAACCTAGAATTAAATGTTAGCTCAAGTTCAGTATAAATCATATGTTATGCCTTAATTCAATCCGTGGAATATACATTGACCCGTAAAAGTATATGTTAAAATTATTTTTAAACCCCTAAAGTTCCGTAAGATTTCATCGATATGAAGTATATTTTATGCGATGCAGGAACCAACTTACCTTAGTGGTTAAAGGAATCATTGTTGTTCTTAGAGACTACGAGTTCGAACACCAACGACTACTGCAGGAGGAGGGTGATTAAACTAATTTGATATTTAGTAAAAAAAGATATAATCTTTTCAAATTTTAATAACTTTTTGATATATTATATATAAATTGATTATATCACCGTATGACACATGCATACATAATATTTGATTGCATATTTTAAATTTGAGTAAATTACGCTTTTAGTATATAAACTATAAGTTTTAGTCAGTTTAGATTTTGTTTCATTTTAGTATATCGTTTAAAATTTAACGTTAAATTTTGAAAAAAAAATGAAAGTTTAGGTATTAATACTAAAGTGGAATAAAACTGATAGTTTAGGTACTAAACACGTTAAATTTTTAATGACGAACGACTAAAATAAAATAAAAAATAAACATAAATGTGATTTTGAAAAAATAATGAAAATTCAGATATTAGAACAGACAAAAACTGACAATTTAATTATTAAGTATATAATTTACTTTTTAAATGTTTGAATGCGCATGTAACGTAAGTTTACACACACACAAAAATGTTTTATCAATTACGTCTTCTTCAAAATATATATATATATATATATATATTCCGTTATTTACGCTTAGTATGATTATTAATTTAAGCAGTCGCGGATTGATAAATACTTTTTGGGTGAGTATATTTATATATTAATTATTAAATTCTTTATATGAGTGAGTACTAATAGAATTTAAGATGGGACATCATAGTAAAATAAACGACTAATATAAAGAATGCTAAATTATAAGTTTAGGACATAAACTATCATTTTTTATTCGTTTTTAGTACATAAATTTTTAATTTTTTTTAAAACAATATATAATATTTAGTTTTTGTTTCATCTATGTACTCGTCGTTAAAAACTTAACGCATTTAATACTTAAACTATCAGTTTTGGTAAGTTGTAGTACCTAAACTTTTAATCTTTTCAAAATTTAACGGTAAATTTTGAATCAGGGTATTAAAATGAAATAAAAATTAAACTTTAGGTATGGTTTTGAAAAAATTAAAAATTTAGGCATTAAAACGGATAAAGATTAATAGTTTATTTACTAAACGCATAGTTTACCCTATAAATAAAGAAATACGTCAGTCATTTATTCATTTTTTAATATAATTCAAATGTTATTATTTTGATAAATAATCAAAATATTATTTTTGATATTTTATGTGATATAAAGATAATTTAGTACAAAAGGCAGAGGGGGTGGGATCAAGAAGGAGAAGATAGCACGTGCAACAACGTGCAAATTGGCGGGGATTTGACCTACAGGAAGGCGCCCCAATAAAAAATGTTGGGTAAATTACAATGATCATCATTGAACTTTATTTTCTCTCTTATTTCATTCATTTACTTTAAATTCATTCAATTTTATCACTGCATTTAATACAATTAACATTTTTTTATCACTCAACCATTAAATATTTAACGTCATTAAAAATAGGTCGTTTTAGAAAAACAAAAATTTCACCAAAACGACATCGTTTTACATATATATAACAACTCATTTACAACATCGTTTAGTGAGAAAACGGATGAGTGACCAAAAATGTTAATTGTGTTAAATTCAGTGAGAAAAATTGAATGGATTTAAAGTACAATGAGTGAAATAGGAGAAAGAATAAAGTTTACTGATGATTGGTGTAATTTACCCATAAATGTTAAGACCTTTTGGTATTATCCATTACAAAACCAACTAGAAATCCCACTCCTAATATTTTTTTGTCAAAACATGGTTTAGTCATTTGGAGGTTACAATAATGTCATAATTAGTAATAGAATTTTTATCTAATTACACCCTACTAAAAAATGTAATTTATAATGTTTTTATTCAATTTTATAAGAGACATTTCGATAATTATATTATTTAAAAAAACTTAATTATATTAAGATATTTCAATAGTTAAATGAATGATTGTTATTTTCAGAGATCTCATGTTCCAACACCAATGACTCGATTATCATCACTAGTTAAGATCGAATAAAATAAAAATTTAACCCACCCGACCCGATTGCCGTCGCCAGTTTTGATGCAACGGACACTTTCAATTTCAAAATGCCTTATGATTTGAGCCGTGTATTAATGTATCCTTATTTTTTATTAGGGTAAAGTATAGTAATGGTCACTGAGCTTTTCTAAAGCTTTCATTTAGGTCCTCCAACTTTTAAAACTTGCAATACAGTCCCTCAACATTTAGTCTGTTTGCAATATGATCCCCCAACGGTTACGTCGGGGACCATATTGCAAACAGACTGAATGTTGAGGGACCATATTGCAAATGGACTAAATATTGGGGGGATTATATTGCAAGTTTTAAAAGTTGAGGGACCTAAATGAAAGATTTAAAAAAATTCAATGACCATTACTATACTTTACCCTAATTTTTATATTATTCCAAACATGCATGCGTTCGACTATCCTAGGATTAGCATATATTTTATGGGGGAATGAAATTTATAGTAATTGCACACATAGTTAATCTTATTCATTTTCAAGCATTTATTTTATTTATATTTTTAATTAATGTATTTTATTATCTAAATTTGCATTAAAGTTTACTCGATTCACTTACAATTACATTTTCTTTGCATTTTGCATGTGTTGTCTTAACATAAATTATTTAAAAATTTTGACTTGTTTATAACGTAAGTTTATATCTCAAGATAATATTTGTGAACCAAACATGAGAGTATTATGTTAAAATGTAAGATGACTTAAATCAAATGATAAAAAAAGATTTAAAAATAGTGGGTTTAATTGTAGCAAAAATAGGCTGAAAATACTTAAAATTTTCATTAAAAAAGAAAAGAAAACAAGAAAAAAATAAATGTCAAAACAGAGAAAACAATTTTTTTGGGTAAAGTATAGTAATGGTCACTGATTTTTTCTAAAGCTTTCATTTAGGTCCCCAACTTTTAAAACTTACAATATAATCTCCTAACATTTAATCCGTTTGCAATATGGTCCCTCAACATTTAGTCCGTTTGCAATATGGTCCCCGACGTAACTGTTGGGGGACCATATTGCAAACGGACTAAATGTTGGGGGACTGTATTGCAAGTTTTAAAAGTTGAGGGACTTAAATGAAAGTTTTAGAAAAGTTCAGTGACCATTACTATACTTTACCCTTTTTATTAAATGCTTTAAAAACTATTAATTATTTTCCCAATATTTAAAAATACCTTAAAATATAGAAAAGGAAAATGCTTTAATGATCGATGAGCTAATTTTTTTTGTTAATAAGGTAATTAATCTTTTAAATTTGTAATAAATCACTAACTATTAATAATTAATAATTAACAAAATTGTTGATATTTTAATTAAATAAATTTATATAATAATAATTTGATATTGTATATTATGGGAGACAAATTCTCTTATAAAATTGGATATCTTGTTTTACCGTAAATTATTAACAATTTTTCAAATCAATCACAATGTGGGAATAAAAATTGAAACCATGTAACCATAAAATATAAATATCTTATCACTGATATATTTAGTACGTTGACGTACGAATAACCATAAGACTACCACAAGAGTCTTATATTTGCATCATTAGACATAATTAGTGTAAATCCTTCTCAATTATGAGAAGAAGGGGTTTCCCTTTCCCTTCTTGTTCTCTTTTCCTCTTCATTTCATCCTACACAAATAGTATATCGACTCACGATCGTATTATCACTGGTTGTAATTCTCCGTCTAAATTAGAATGGGCGAATCATCCACGATTATAGATAGTGACGGGACTCGGTGATATAGTTTAAAGGGGTCAACTTAAAATTTTTGAAAAAAAGAACTTTAAACTAAATTTTTTAAAAATTTTGAAGAGATCAATTTAGAAAAAAAAATGAATTATAATTAAAAAATTTAAAAATTTAAAAATTTGAGAGTCTTAATGAGAATTTTAAAAAATTATGGTTGATGCTTAGTTAAAAATATTTTTAAAAAATAAAAATCAATATAGATTTCTAAAAACTTTACGGGACCAAATTAAAATTTTTAAAAATTTAAGACCTAAACTTTAATTATCCAAATTTTAATGGTTTGGCCCCCACTAGTTTTCATTATCTTCCACCATTTATTAGAAGACAATATCTATTTGAACGACTCTTACTCATTTAATAATGGACATTTAAATACCCCTTCAAATGGTGTGATCAAATCTGAGATCTATAGGGATAAAATCACTCTTAAACCATCGAGATCACTTTCATCGTAAGAGAGTTTGATGACTATATTAACAAAAGTTTTAGTTCAGTGTGTTAAAACAAAATCTAAGCAATAGTTCAGTGACCTTGAAACTAGTTTACCCAAATTTCTATAACCATCCGGCAAGGTATCGCACCTCGTGCCTTTCTGCAAACAAAAGGAAACTACTTTCAAATCCTGAAGCATTAATTACTTAGGATTATGTGGTGGATCTCTTCTGGCTAATTATTTTATATGGAAGCTTCATTATTCGCTGTGTAATGCACTGTATTGATTGTTGCAGGGTTCTTCTAAAGCCGGGTTTCTCGGCGAAGCCTCGATCGATTTCTCCGATTTTGCAGCCGAAAACAGCCTGTTACGGTCTCCCTGCCCCTTAAGTTTGCAAACTCCGGTGCCATTCTACATGTTAGTTCCAAGCATTTTAATTCTGTTGATTTTGAAATCTAGTATTGGCTTCAGTGTAACTTGGTTTTGAAATTCATGGTGATCCATAGGTGACAATTCATAAAATTGAGGGAGCTGAAGATCAGAGGTGATACAAGCATTAATAATCCGTATCTGTAGCCATTCACTATGTACCTTTTTGTTTTCTTCTACTTACCTATATGTAATTCGATTTCCAATATCAGATACGTCGGAGATGGTGAAGATTCGATCATTTCCAGAGAGGGAAGCCTGCACAGACAAGTCATGGATTACAGTGACAATGTCCAAAATTCAGCAGAAGTAAGTTCGAAATCCCAACTTGTGTTGTTTTAGTATAGTTTAGCATGAATGATTTGGTTAAAAGCATACTGAAATTATTACACAGGATGGGGATTTGGACCCTGCCGAATTATTTTCACCTCTACAGCAAAATTCGATGCCTCGGAGAGCGGCGGATACTGCCACGACTGAAAGGAAGATGCACAGGAGAACGAACACGGATTGGTCGGGCAGTTCAGCTTCAGATGGGAGTTTAACTGAGCTAGCTAATAGCCCTGATGACATCCCAAGAGAATGGCACAAGGGATCGGATCCTGTCGAGAAACTCAGAAGTGAAAACACTATGTTATTGAGGCAACTAGAAGTATCCGAATTGGAGTTGCAGTCTCTTAGGAAACAGATTCTGAAGGAGAACAATCGGACGCGGGATCTGTCGAGACAAATTACCAGCCTTAAAGAAGAAAGAGATGCAGTGAAGATAGAGTTCGAACAACTCAAGTCGAAGGAAGTATGTGACAGTGGATCAGAAGACGAAAACGAGGGATCAAAGGCTCTGCTAAAAGAAATTAGGCATGAGCTGGAGCATGAAAAGGAGTTGAATGCCAATCTCCGGTTGCAGCTGCAGAAGACGGAGGACTCGAATTCTAATCTAATTCTTGCAGTTAGAGACCTCAATGAAATGCTAGAGCAAAAGAACATCGAAATAGCTCGCCTCACCAGCAAGATCGAAGCAAGTACGAGTATTGAAGAAGCACGACACAATACCGATGAAGTACACATGATGAAGCAGACGATCACAGACCTGAATGCAGAGCTGGAGTTTTACCAGAAACATAAGGAGGAGTTAGAGATGCATATAGAAGAATTGAACCATGAAAATGACAAAAACCAGCTACAAGAATCAATGAAGACACGAAATGAACTCGAATCACAAGTGCAAAGACTTGAGGATGAAATCAAGCAGCAATCAGAAGAATACTCGGAGTCCTTAATCGCCATCAACGAACTCGAAACTCAAGTGAATGAATTAAACAAAGAACTGGAGAATCGAACACAAGGGTTTGAAGAAGAGCTCGATGCCATTATACATGCCAAAACCGAGCAGGAACAGCGGGCCATCCGAGCAGAGGAGGCCTTAAGAACAACAAGATGGAAGAATGCTGCCAATGCCGAGCGGGTTCAGGAAGAATTCAAAGAGCTCTCTGTTGAAATGGCTGGTAGGCTCGATGAAAACGAAAAGATGACAATGAAAGCAGTTGCAGAAGCGAATGAAGCCAATGAAGAACTCAGGCTACTTAAAGATCAGACCGTGATCGAACTAGACAACCTCAAGCACCAACTAGGTCTCAAAGAAGAACAAATAGCAAACATGTCAATGGAACTCGATGATAAGACTTCAAAACTTCAACATGCACAAAAGCAAGAGAAGGAAAACCAGGAAGCCTTCTCGAAAGAAATTCGAATGCTCAAGACCGAGATCGAGAAGCTCGAAGAGCAGAGAAACCAATTTTCTGATCAGGCAAAGCAAAGTGATGAAACCAGAAAAATGCAGACATCAAATGAAAAAACCGAGATTCTGATACAAAGATGGAACAAAGAAAGAGATGAATTGGAGAGAAAAATCGCTTCGGCAAAGAAGGAAACAGAGAAGGCACAGAAGCAACTGATTAGTACAAGGTCATTGAAGGATAAAAAGGAGATGGTGATCTCAAATCTGCAGTCAGAAATGGATAACATCAGAGTGGAGTGTAACGACTTAAAACACAGCCTGCTCCAAGAAGAAAGGGAGAAAGAACAGCTGAGAAAACAGTTGTCCCAATTAAGAAACGACCTGCAAAAGAAGGAAGACGAAATCAGCTCTATAGCAGTACCAGTTGAAAGGTATGAGCATAAGCCAATCTTTTTGTTTGAAGAATTACATCTCCTATGGAATTCATCGACTAATCATCCATGTTTTTCCTTCTTATGAAAATCAGCAGTGATGCTACTAATCTCACCGGTTTGCTAAGTGAAGCGGAGGGTCTCAAGGAGAGGAATAAAGCTATGGAGCGTGAGCTTAAAGACATGGAAGAAAGATATTCAGAAATAAGTCTCAGATTTGCAGAAGTGGAAGGTGAAAGACAGCAACTCGTGATGACTGTGAGAAACCTTAAGAATGGCAAGAAGAACTAAACAACACAAAAAGGAAGAACTTGTGAAATAGCATAAGCTGCAAATTTGGGTTTTTGAGGTTTTAACCGAATAGTTAGGAACCGATTTATTGCCTCCGTTTTGATGTTTTTAATTTTTTGTCATGTACGTTTTTTTATTAAATAAATAATTTTTTTAATTTTTATTAAAATTTAAATATAAAATAAGTGCTCAAATTATAACGTTTTTCACGAATATGTGTTTAAATTATTTTTTGAATGATCTCGGTACCTAACGTTATAAACATTATTATTTTAGGTGTTCGAGCCATTAATGATGTTAATTTTTTTCGTTAAGTGATACGTGTCAAAATCTGGTAATTATTTTAAAAATATTTAAAATTAAAAATTTAAAGTTATAATTAAAGAAACACAAAAATTTTGAAATAACCCAAAGACTTTGAAAACCTTCATTTCTACCATTAAACATAGGTCGTCCACTGCCCTTTGTCGTCGACGAAACTCCACCCGACCTTAACTTCCCGTGGTGACTAATTGTTGAAAACATTTTTGATATTTCGATATAACAAATTAAGTTAAATGAATTTTAAGATTTCACAAATGATTTTACAAATTCGATTCAATTAACCGAATATCAAATTATTACTCCAAGTTTTTCAAGATCAATTTTAATCCTTACTAAATGTGTAAAATTGTGATTTGTACTTAAACTATTTTTGAAACAATTTTCACAAAGTATTTTGAACCAAAAACATGCCTTAAATCAATTATTCAAAGGCATGCACCGATGCATCAGTCCATGCATCGATGCATCGATGAATTAATTGAACATCGAATGCATTCCATGCACCGATGCACTCTCCATGCATCGATGCACTCTGAATATTTTCAAAACATCGAATGCATTTGATGCATCGATGCACAAGCCATGCATCGATGCATCAGGCTATTTTTCAAACATCGAATGCATTTCATGCATCGATGCACACTTGGTGCACCGATGCATCAAGTGTTCCAACGGTCAAAATATTTGAATTTTACACGAATGCACCGATGCATACTTGATCATGCATCGATGCATGAGACGCTCCACCTAGAAAAATTAATTGTTTTCACACTTAAACGGCTCTATTATCCCCACTAATTATCACCAACGTTCATAATTGATTCAAGGGGTATTTAAACAAGTTCTGGAGCCATTGATCAAGAACAAGAAACATCAATCAACTAGAATCAAGAGAGAATCAAAGAGAAATCATCAAACCTCAAGTTTGAGTATTTCAAGCCTATTTTTCATCCAATATTCATTTGCTTTCAAGAACACTTTTGTACTCAATTGTATTTATCCTTGAGTGTTCTTTTCTTTGTTCTAGAATTGTGCAAACATCTTACTTTGTGAGGTTTTCTTGTAAGTTTGCAAATTTGTAATCTTCTCTTTGGGAAAAAGAGTGTTCTCAAGAGTTGGGGTATACTCTTGAGGGATTTTGTAAGGTTATCTCTTTGGCCCCAAAAGAAAGAACAAATTAGTGAATTTGTTGGAAAATCCTTAGTGTGGATAGCTAAGGTAGTGGACGTAGACTTTGTTTGAGAAAGTCGAACCACTGTAAACCGTTGTGCAATTACTTTAAATTTTCTGCAAAAGCTTCCACGAAATTTTTAATTGCCAATTCACCCCCTCTTGGCCGATTCCGTAGATCGATTAACTCAATAATTTGTATCAGAGCCTCACTCATTTGAAGGTTTAATCGCCTCTTGAGTCGATTCGGAAAGAGTTACATCGATTACCAAGTCATCAATGGCCTCCACTTCAAATTACGACTCCGGTCTTGATTCGATGCCCGTCAACAAGCCTCCTTTCTTCAATGGAGCTAATTACGCCTATTGGAAGAATAGAATGATGTACTTCATTCAAGCAAGTGACATGGGAGCATGGAATGCCGTAGAAGAAGGATACATCAAGCCTATCACTCATCCAAGGTTGTGGAGTGAAGGATAGACAAGAATGTTCCAGCTCAACTCCAAAGCCATCCATATTATTTTTGTGCTCTTGGACCAGATGAATACGAAAGAGTTTCATCGTGTACAACCGCCAAAGAAATATGGGACAAGCTTCAAGTCACACATGAAGGTACATATGAGGTAAAGAAATCAAAAATTAGTATTCTAACGCATAGCTATGAAAATTTCAGGATGAAACCAAATGAAGACATCAAAGCTATGATGGATAGATTTTCAACGATTGTCAATGGTCTCAAATCATATGGAGAGATCATCTCAAATGAAAAGCTTGTGAGGAAGTTAGTCTACTCCCTCCCAAAATCATGGCAATCAAAGAAGACGGCAATCATCGAGTCTAAGGACCTATCGTCCTTAACTCTTGAAGAACTTATCGGTTCACTCCTCACTCATGAGATGATGCTCGAAGATGAGGTGGACCTTGATAAAGTTGAAGAGACACCAAAGGAAAGGAGAAGAAGAAAAATATTGGAGTTGCTCTCAAATCCACAAAAGATGAGAGTGATTCTAATAATGATGATGATGACGAGGAAATGGCATTGTTTGACAAACGGTTCAGAAAATGATGAGACCTTACCAAGGAAGAAAATTCAACGAAACAAAGGCCTCAAAAATGAACCAAAAGAGAAGGACCCAATCATTTGCTATGAATGCAAAAAGCCGGGGCATGTCAAATATGATTGCCCACAATTGAAGAAAAAAAGTCAATCAAAGAATAAGCACAAGGCTCATGTGGCTACATGGAGCGATGAAGAAAGTTCCGATGAAGAGGAACAAGAAGTAGCAAACTTGTGCTTGATGGCATTCGGGGAAGATTCTAAGGTAACCTCTAACTCATCCGATTTTGATGATTTATCTTATGATGAGTTATTTGAGGAGTACAATGGGTTGGCTTCGGATTATGAGAAATTGTTTTTTAAAATATAAAATGATGTTTCAAAATTGAAAAATGAAAACAAACTCATATCCAAAACCAACAACGATCTTGAAAGTAAAATCAAAGATTTGCAAATCAAACTAGAAGAGTTTGAAAAGAAAAAATTAGATTTGCAAAATTTACTTTCAAAGATCAATGATGATCATCAAAAGAAAATTGATGATCTTAAAACTTCTTTTGATAAAGTTGGAACAAAACATTTTGAAAGAGGTGGAAATTCAAAATCCAACTTTGTTAGAAAAAGTTTTAGAAACTACAATCATAGAGGTCCCCAAAGAACCTCTAATGGAAAAATCATTAGAAGTATGTGGGTTCCTAAAGAACTCATTACTACTAAAGATAAAAATATCCTACACAAATGGATACCTAAGGGGACTAGGATTTTGGAAACTAATGAATATGGACCCAAAAGAATTTGGGTACCAAAAATAAAAAATTAATCTATGTTTGTAGGGAAAGGAGCATTGCTACAAGGCACGGGAAACAAATTCAAACTCATGGTACCTTGATAGTGGATGCTCAAGACATATGACCGGAGACAAAGCCGGTTCATTGAGCTTAACGCCAAAAATGGAGGAGAAGTGACTTTTAGAGACAATTCAAAAGGTCACATTGAAGGTATTGGTACAATAGGTAATACCTCTTCCATACAAATTAAGAATGTTTTATATGTGAATGGATTAAAGCATAATCTTTTGAGTATTAGTCAATTATGCGATAAAGGATTCAATGTCTTATTTGAAATTAATGGTTGTAAAGTTATTGACATTGCATCTAATCGGATTATGCTTATTGGTCATAGAATAGGAAAAATTTACATGGTGCATTTAGATTCTATTGATATGACTAATTTATGCCTAGTTGCTAAGGATGAGCATGATAGTTGGTTATGGCATAGGAGACTAGGTCATGCTAGTATGAGTGTTTTGCAACGGTTAATTCAAGGAGACTTAGTAAGAGGGTTGCCTAAGCTTAAATTTGATAATGATAAAATCTGTGATGCTTGTGCTAAAGGAAAACAAAAACGAGTTTCTTTTAAATCTATTAATGATGTATCAACTAGTAGAGTATTACAATTGATCCATTTAGATCTTTTTGGGCCAACTAGAACTACTAGCTTAGGAGGAAAACAATATGCTTTTGTCTTGGTAGACGACTATTCTAGATACACTTGGGTTCTATTCTTAAGTACTAAAGATGAAGCATTAGAAAATTTTATCACATTTTCAAAAATAATCCAAAATGAAAAAGGTTACTCTATAACTAGTGTTAGAAGTGATCATGGAACTGAATTTGAAAATCTTGGATTCATTGAGTTTTGTAATTCTAATGGTATTAGCCATAATTTTTCAGCACCTAGAACCCCTCAACAAAATGGAGTTGTTGAGAGGAAAAATCGAACTTTAGAAGAAATGGCTAGAACCATGCTTTGTGAAAATAATTTGCCAAAATATTTTTGGGCGGAAGCCACAAATACCGCTTGTTATGTTGTAAATCGAGTAATGATTAGGCCAATTTTAAAGAAAACTCCATATGAAATTCTCAAAAATAAAAAGCCTAACATTAGCTATTTTCATCCTTTTGGATGTAAATGTTTTGTTTTAAACAACGGTAAAGAAAATCTTGGCAAATTTGATGCTAAAAGTGATGAAGGAATTTTTCTGGGTTATTCCTTAAATTCTAAAGCTTATCGTGTATTTAATAAAAGAACTTTAGTTGTAGAAGAGTCTATACATGTTGTTTTCGATGATAATCCCCTTCCAAGGAATGATTCTTCTGTTAATGATGATGTAGGTATTGTACAAGCAAATGACGTTAGACATGACGTTGGAGAATCATCATCAAAGGAAGAAACAAAAGATGAGGAAACTCATGATCCCCTCGAGAATCCAACCATTGAAGAAAGGGAAGTATCTTTTCCAATAGAGTACAACTATGTCAAGGATGGTGAAATTATAGGTGATCCATCAAAAGGGGTAACTACTCGATCTTCTCTTAGAAATATCTGTAATTATGTTGCATTTATTTCATGCATAGAGCCTAAGAACATCAAATAAGCATTAAAAGATGAACATTGGATTATGGCTATGCAAGAAG